TCTATGTCACCAGCTTCCAGTTCGCCTTCGTGTGGTTTGCGCAACAAAGGCGGGCTGTCGTTTGGCGGAGGCTTACTTGGATGCTCAGTCTTGGTGACCACAGGGATGTCCTTGACAGACTCTTCGGCAGGTGCCTCGTCCTTGACAGTTGTCTTTGCAGGAGTCTTGGCTGGCGCCTTGCCCTTCTCCTTTGGCTCCTTTGGCTCCTTGGGTTCCTTTGGCTCTTTAGTCTCCTTGGACGGAATCGACTCCTTGTCCTTCGTATCCTTCTGCTCCCTTGATTCCTTGCGCTCTTTCTGCGCTTTGGGTTCCTTGGCAGACTCACGAGCAGATTCTTTCGTCTTGCCTGAATCCTTGACTTTGATCTTGACCTTCTTTGCTGGAGGCTCTTCGGGAGTGAGTTCACGGTGCTGGGGTTTCCTCTTGTGTGCCTTTTTGCTGTCTTTTGAGGTGGATGCTGGAGGTAGGTTCTTGATCTTGAGTTTGAGATTAGTCTTCTGGCGAGGCTTTGGTAGTGGCTCTTCGTAATCGTCCATTTCCTCGTCGGCCAATCCATCGTCATCGTCACTATCGCTCACAGGGTGGTGGTAATAGACATGACGCGGGTTGACACTCTGTTGGTCTTCGCTCTCAGAACTGATGTGTTCGTCGCTTTCCAGCTGGCCATTGCCGTTCTCAAAGGAAAAGCTCATAGGACGTGAGCCAGATTCTTGGCGATGTCGCTGCTGCTCGGTAAGCGCGACGTCGGGTAGATAGAAATGGATGTTGACGGCGCCTATGAGCAGGTGATCGCCGTGATCCAGGGGAACAGTTTCGCCCTTTGGATAGAAGTCGCCCTCATGATGCAGGCCGTTGTTGCCCAAGACGTGTATGCAAAAGTGGCCGGCATCAAAGTCGAAGAAAATCTTGGCATGCTCACGCGATATACCCTTCGGTCCCAGAGAGCCGGTCTTGGCCATGATTTGCTGGGGATGTATGGGCACGAAGGGACAATCGTTGGGATCCTCGGGTACGTGGCCGTCAAACTGGGCAGGTACCTCAGGAAAAGTCTGCATGAGCATATTCTGAGGCGCGCGCTCGGCGGGGTTCTCTTCAGCAGGTTCGCCAGCTGGATGGGAGTTTGAACTGAGAGAGTGGGAGGCATTGCTCTGGCGGCGCTGCTGAAACTCCATTGGCATGGACTCGATGGGTACGTTGACGATGCCACCTTTTTCGGAGATGACGCTGCGAGCACCGCGACGGTCGCGCTTCTTCTTCTTGCGATCCTTTTTCCCGTTGAGGTACTCCTCTGCGGCTTTGGTATGGCCTTTGGCATGCAGCGCCTCGGCCTTGATGAGGCGCTTCATGTCACGGTGAGCGAGGTGGATGTTGCGCCCGAGCGTGATCTGGTAGGTGTGCATGTAGTAGGAGCCGTCATCGAAGCGCAGGCGCGCAAAAGCCGTGAGGCGCTCATTTGTGGTTGGGGGCATGAAGGGGTCCATGGCAGGGAAGGCAGAGGCTGAGGCGCCGACATCCATGGGCAGCGGGGCAGCTATGGCGGTCGTTGCAGCCATGCCGCCGTTCATGTCGCCATTCATATCGGCAGACTGGGCGAGGTTGATGGGGTCGGCGAGAGGGGAGATTTGGGGATGGCTGGGGGTATTGGCCGTGTTCATGTTGTCGATGGTGTCCATGGGGCCGGGGTTGGCAGGCGCATCCTCTGCGCTGGGGGCTGGCAGGGCTGGCGGCGCATCGGCGGTGGTGGTAGTGGTGGTGGAAGCCATCTCGGGAGCGCGCTGGTGGTGGATGGATGGGTGGCCGGGGGCGGGGGAGTCATCTTGGGCGACGACATGGTGGAGCTGCTCGCTAGACGGGGCTACGGCCATGCTGCTGCCGCCATGTTCGGAGGGAGCTGGGCGGTGGTTGGGTGTTGTGGCTATCGTGGTGGCTATCGGGCGGTGGTGCTGGTCGTGGGTGAGGGCGAGAGCGAGGTGAGGTTTTGGGCCGGGGGTCGTGGATGGCGCCCTCTGCACACGGACGCGGTTTAGCGGCGCGCTTGTTTTTTCTCGTGATCGAGCAGGCCGTGGGCGGATATCGCGCAACACGTATACAAGAGAGACAGCAGGCAAAAAGGCCGGAGTCGAGCTGTCGCAAACAAGCTGGTATTGTCGGAGAGAGAGGCTTGCGCCGGGTCTAATCTTGCTGCACGTGCCATGGCCGCAGAACCATCGTACTTTCTTAGTATAGCAGGGCTATTGCTCCTTCCATACTAGTCGGGCCCGCCTCGTCCAGCCAGTCGCCCACAATTACCATCACCATTATCATCATCATCAATCGCATCAAATCGCTGCACACCACTGTACTACATTACACTACACTACTCTACTCTACTCTAATCTACACTACACTACTCTACTCTAATCTACACTACTCTACACCCCATATCGCTGCACCACACGATACGACACTACACGGCAAAGCACCTCCATGGCTCCCAAAAAGAAAACCCCGCCCGCCGCATCCACCAAGTCCGCCCCATCACCCCAGCCCGCACACACCCTGCCCAATTGGCCTGCCTTCACTCCTCTTGTACCAGAAGCAGACCTAGCGCTGCAACAAGTCCTCCCCAATCAAATCATTACTATTCCCAACTTCTGGCCAGCGGCGCTATGCAAGACCTATGTATCCTTTTTATCTTCACTGCCGCTGACTACCACTCCTGGAAAACCCAAAAAAGGCGATGCAGTGCGAGTCAATGATCGCTTCCAGATTGACGACCCTGCCTTTGCTGAACGGCTGTGGAGTCAGACGGCATTGAAGAATCTTGTCACGGGCGCGTTGGGCTTGGATGAGAAGCAGCGGCACAGTCTGTGGGGCGGCGACGTCGTTGGTCTCAATCCCAACATCCGCATCTACCGCTACACCAAAGGCCAGTTCTTTGACCAGCATTGTACGTCGCTGCCGTCTCCTCGCTTGCCAACCAGCCCTACCTAGTCACAACGCCAGTTACTGCATGCCACTGACTCGCCCAGATGATGATTCAAACAATGTCACCATTCCTGGCTCACCACCAGTCCAGGCACGAACCACTTGGACCTTGCTGCTTTACCTCACCTCTCCTGCAACCGGATGCATCGGTGGAGAAACTGTCTTTTACCCAGACCCACCCAAGTCCAAGTCCAAGACCAGAGGCCCTCCACCCGAGCCGCTGCAAGTGGACCTCCAAGTCGGCCTTGCCCTTTTGCACCGCCATGGCCCAGATTGTATGCTGCACGAGGGGCGCCAAGTCGTCGACGGCGAGAAATGGGTAATCAGAAGCGACCTATGCGTCAAACGCTGATGAGTCCGGTTCCTCCAACCAAGTTTTGGTTCAGAGCCGATTGCCCTATTCAACAAGCCCTCTCTCTTGCGGTCTGGTTCCTGTTAAAAAATCGCAACACCAACCCCGGAACGCCCAGGTGCAAGTGAAATTGCGCTTGTTGTCGAAATGCATCACCATGTTGCATACTCATCATGTGCTTGCCAGACACCGATGGCATCTCACAGTCACCTCGACGTTGTGTAAGCTGGTTAATACATCGAACTCGTTAAATCACCAAAGTACGGCAAGGCCCCAGACATATTTTCCATTGGTGACTTTAACACTCATCATACATCACACAAGCTGAGGCTTGAACAGGGAAAAAGGCCAACAGAACCATGTCTCTTTCGAGGAGGCTACGTACACACAACAGTGCATTCTGTTTTCTCTGTAGACCTCAACCTCCCTGGCCTATCTTGGCTCGTGCGCAATGCCTATCTCCATCCGTTTTAGGCTATGATTACTTCCTGCACGTGTACCACACTTCTCCTCCGACATCGCCACATTGAGCATTGGAGCACACCTGCCTGTCACCGACCGAATCGTAGTGCTTTTTACAAACAGAGTGATACCAGCCGGGATTAGAAGCAAAATTTGCTGACACGACCAGTTCCGCCTTGTCCTTCTTGTCAAATGCCAAAACGTCCCAATGAGATCCATCGGCCACTTGACAGTGAGAACAACCCTCGCCGTTGGAACGCTTACCATCGTTGTAATGGTGGCATGGAATACATATCCACCCCGTCGGTGCATCGTCCCGGTATCTTCGTGCACGTGCGGTTTCGTCCACTTCGTTGTTGTGTATTCTACGCGCTGCGAATCCCGCAAGTTCCGAGTGAGGCTCGCGTGGTCCTTCTTTGGGAGAAGACATGCAGCACCCCATTTGAGAGGTCTTGTGCTCGAGCGGAACAACTTACCAGTGGCAATGCCCACGGGCGGGTTATATGTCTACTTCCTGTGTGTGCTTGCTTCATTCAGGTTGATTGCTTCATCCATCACGCATGACTGCGCTGGAAAGCCCTATGGCCGACTTGTATTCTTCTTGTCAAATGACTTCCTCATCATATGAGCAAATTTTGCAGTATCAATCATGTTAGTTACTTGTGGCACCAGTAGGTGACCAGCAGGGTGAACTTGTAAACTAGCTTTGTGCCAGGAATGCTTTTCACACTGGTATAAGTGTCTTTCTGTAATCCAGACTGAATCCATGTTCCCTATGTATTGCAATAGAACTGCTTACAAAAACGTCAAATATACTAGTATACTCGCAAAACTCACACTATTTTCTATTACGAAGTAGAAATTGAACATGTACTTTGCATGTACTCTAGCCAACAAGTTCAACAAAGTACACAATTCATAGGATCTGTCAATGGTGTCTTAGCCGTCCTTTCCTTCTGCGCCACCAGAGTATTTTCAGAATTCGATTGGACTCATGTGAAGGCGGGAATAACGTGCAGATAGTAACAAGAACGCATATACCCGTACCAAGGCGTAACGCCTGCTGGAACTGACCCTATCAAGGTGCGCGACCATGTTGCACGACTTTTGCGAGACATGCACAGCCTTGCGCTCGTGCGCGCTGAAGGATCCCGTTCAAATACGAAGATGTGCCGCCCTTGTGGACCACTCCCTATCACCACTTCTTCTTCTCTTCTTTATGGCTGAACCCGCGAATTCGGAAGTAGAAACCCCAAGCGCCCCGGTGCCTGAGAAAGCGACAGATACCCCTGGTCAGAGACAGGAGGAGGCTTCCGCGTTTGTGCGTTCGTGGGAAGGGTACCCCAAAGGCTATCCTATGCTGGCCGAACGCATCGCTTTGAAACCACAGACAGCTATCTATCGTAGATTCGCCGCTCTAAATTCTCGGCGTATACTGTATCTTCATGCCGAGCTCTGCATCCTGGAGAGACGTCTGCGGATAATCGAGAAAGAAGAGAAAGAGCGAGACGATGAATCAGGCAAAAGACCATCTCACAGATACGCAGCCGACTACGAGCGCATGCTCGAACATCAAGATGGCGATGGGAAACCGCATTTGGAACTTCTCGGGACAATTGGTGAGAAATTGAACCAGTACAGTGAGTTAATGTCACTAGCAATACAGACGAAGGGCAATATGACTAAAACACTACAATTCTAGATGAAGCACTGCTACAAGTCTCATACCTATCCCAGATCCCAGCACCGCAGAAATTTGACCTCACCGACCTCTACCACTTCCTGGGAAGCGAGTCCATGGGGCCGTGCTGGCTCGCGGGTACTGATCATGGCACTTGGGGCGCTTGGGACAACCCCGAGCACCATGCACCAGACCTAGTTGGAGTACATCCTCGCCCAAGGGCTGATGATTTCTCGCAATGGATTGTAGAGAAGTCGGTGCGTCTATTTTCTTGTGGACTCGGCCGTTTCACAAAAGGCACCCCCAACCTGGGTCGCAAAGTGTATTATGACTCGGATGTCCTGAAAATCACGTCTTGGATCACGTGTATCCTGGCATCGCTACTGCCCATTGCCTCGATTTTGGTCCTGTTGAATGTGCCATCGCTCAAGGGCCGGCTTTGGGTCATTGCTGCCTTCAATATCCTGATGAGCGTGTGTTTGAGAACGTTTACAGAGGCGAAGAAGTCAGAAGCATTTGCCATTACCGCTGCGTAAGTCGATCCTTTACGAACATGTTTTCTAAGCTTTGTGCTGACACTTGTAGCTTTGCTGCTGTTCAGGTGGTGTTTGTAGGAACGGATCGTGATCCGGGGGCCCGGTGAGCGCTTGTCGTTTGGTGGTGGCACTCAGGTGTTGTCTTTCATTATAGTATCAACCATCCCTCGTGACTTATATACTAGTACTATATGTGTTTGTATGTGGACTATACTGGGCTTGTCCCTAGATGGAAAACGTTGTTTTCTCGGAAATCAATATAGCTAGAGGAACATTACTCTTCAGCCCAATTCAAACGTCTGACATTGTAATTGTGATGTGTTACTCCGAATGATAGGGCATGCCATGTAATAGGCCCGAGATTTTCACATCCGATGCTTCCATGCCGAGGCGCTAGTTATGCTCCGCCTCGTCGACTTCACCCATTCCCATTACGCGAACATTTCGCATAGTACACTCCGTGTCAGCATCATGATGGAGTCGCATAGCAGCTATGTCGCATACCCTGTTGGTCATAATGTGCAGTTCATAGTCATGAGACATATCAACTCTCTCGATCGACGAATCTGGTAGGTAAGCACGGCTACATTTCCACAACCGCACTGGCCTCGAGCAATTCCATGTCAGACCATAGCAACTCCAACCGTGTCTTTATACTACTTACCCCGATCTGGCGCTTGGAAATCTGACGCATTACTTTCACCCCAGGATATCCCAAGAACAACCCCGCAATCTGGCCAGCCTGCCGTGGCATGCCTAGAACGCTGGGCACATCAAGCTTAGTTGCTGTGATCGGATTGGTCCGCCCTTCGTCCATCTCATATCCTCCTGGGAGTTTCTTCGTCTCGGCGGGCCATGCTTGCTCGGCATAACTTGCATCTCAGCACCAGACTGGCGGTACTGAGCGCGGTGGCGGCTAGTGACTCTAGGACTAACTACCATTCTTGGGCAAACGTCCTTCACCCAGGCTTTCCCCGCCATTCTTCATGTCTTTGCTCGTCTTGGTATTGGCCTACAGGACCGAATTGGCCATTCCAATCCACGTGTCTATCGTACATGATGATGACCCGGGAGCTAGTGACTGTTTTCATTGGATCAAAAAAGCTTCGCGGAGTACTGCTTTGGCCAAGAGCTGAAAATCACCTCGGCTGGAACCATCTTGATGGTAGTATAAATGTTGGGGAGCGCATGCCCCAGAATTTCCCCCCTGCAGATCTTCGTGGTTGATCTCACCCTTTGGTTCTCGATCCAGTCTGACGACCCACTCTCTACACCATGAGTAACGAGACAGAAGAAAAGGTCGATGCAGTCCTCAAGGAGAGCTTGACTCCACCTGCAGCCGGCAGCGCCAGTGGCGACTACATCTTTGACGAGATTGAGGAGAAGAAGCTGGTCCGCAAGGTGGACTGGAGGCTCCTACCCATATTAGGGGCTCTGTACTCCATTGCGCTAATCGACCGTACAAATGTAAGTAGAGGGACTCGGCAGGCAATTCTCTTATGGAACACTCCTAACAGAACTCTTAGATTTCCAATGCCCGTGTCGCAGGCATGGGACAGGACCTTCGTCTCGATATCGGGGACCGATATACAATTGTGCTCGTCATGTTCTTCCCTACCTACTTTCTCCTCGAACTACCTTCCAACATCGTGCTGCGCAAAGTGGGAAGTGCAAACTGGCTGTCTTTCATCGCAGTGTCTTGGGGCGCCGTGATGATTGGCCAGGCCTTTGTGAAGAGCTGGATTTCACTTACTATATGCCGTGTGCTGCTGGGAGCCTTTGAGGCTGGGTAAGTAACCTGGCCTTCAATCCCCTAGCCTTGGAACTGTTAGCTAATGACAAAATACTCTAGCTTCTTCCCCGGTTGCGTTTATCTCATTACGTGTTGGTACCGCCGCTATGAAACACAGAAAAGGTAAAGCAAGCGCTTAGGCAATCACAACACTGGACAAACAAGCTAACCTATCTTTTAGGTTGGGCTTGTTCTACCTCTTTTCAGTTGGTATCGGTGGCCTGGCAAGTATTCTAGCCTATGGCTTGATGCAGATGGAAGGCCTTTCAGGAGTCCGAGGGTAAGCAGATGACAGCCACAACCCCCAACCGCTACTTGGGCATAAGTGTACTGACATGTAGCACAGTTGGCAATGGATCTTCATAATTGAAGGAATCATTACAGTCGTCGTCGCCGTCGCCGCCTGGTTCATCATCCTGGATTTCCCCGACAAGGCCGAGAAGAAGGGTTTCCTTACTTCCACCGAAGCAGCTGTGATCATGCAACGCATTGAAGACGACCGCGGCGACTCTGTCGATGACCCGCTGACGTGGGCAAAATTCGGACTGCATGTCAGAGATATCAAGTTGTGGGGATACGCGACGCTCTTCATGAGCACTACAATGCCTGCATACGCTTTCAGCTACTTCCTCCCTGTTATCCTGCTCGGCATGGGTTACAGTGCAGGGCAAGCCAACGCCCTCGCTGCCCCACCCAGTCTCGTTGCCATGTTCGGAGCCTTTGCCTTTGCATGGCTGGGCGATAAGTACCGAGTTCGAGCTCCGGTCATCGCAGCGCAGTCTATCATTACTATCGTCGGGCTCATGATTGTTGCTTACGCCGAAAACAACGGGGCAAGATATTTTGGCACATTCCTTGGCGTTTGCGGATGCCAGGGTAATGTACCTGCTATCCTTGCCTACCAAAGCAACAATATTCGCGGCCAGAGTAAGAGATCGGTTGGCAGTGCGCTGCAGATTGGATTCGGAGCCATTGGTGGCATCATTGCGTCGACCGTCTTCACGCAAAAGGAAGCGCCCAGGTATCTCACGGGACTCTGGGTTACTGCTGCTTTGCAATTTTACATTCTGGGTGTCCTAATATGCTTTACAGTGTATTTCCGGAAGCAAAATGCGGTGGTTGAGAAGCAAAGGGCGAACGGGGAGCCCCTGGCTGAGAGGGAAGGACAGGCGGGGTTCAAGTACACGCTCTAAGGCGTGGACGAGTCTTGCTGTGTATGATAACATCTCTTTTGCAAACACGGTCAAGGAGTAGTACAAAGGAATACTATGCATATACTATGCAATGTCTGCTGCACCCCGCTTGTACTACTATTTTGCGCCTTTCTCTCCGTGGTTAAGCGTGACACGATGACGTTTTCTGCCCAACCACTACGTGTCGCAGGTTGGACCCATGTCTCCTTGTCTCAGCCTCACTCGTAATAGCAGCAGCTCCTCAGTCAGCAACGCCATGTGCCTCAGCTTGGCTCCCTAGCCCTGCTTGAGGCATAATTACTTCTTTTTTCTTTGCACTTGTACACTCTTGCAAGCCTATCTTCCTTCGCATCCCATTCACTCGCGAACATACGCACATACAGTACTTAATCGTAGTCGCTAATCGTCAACACCCTGACCCCAAGTCCGGCTCAGCGCTTTTATAAGCATATACGCACATACAACCACGCGCGCAGGCGCGACACAGCCCAAAATACCACACACCTTCTACCCCCCCATCTACACACCATCTCGACGTCTCCCACTCTGCACCCCAACCATGGGCTCAAAACACCACTTACACGTCGCCCACCAGATTCCTCCTCACATGCACCCAGCTGAAGTCATTGCCACACTCCACGATCACGAGACCGCCCTCACACTGCAAGCGCTCACCTGCGGCCACACAAAAGCGCCCTCGACCTTGCCTTCGACCCTCAAAGACACTTACTGGTACCCACCAGACCAGTACCCCGTCTCCACCTACAACGTCACAGAATGCATAACATGGTTCCCTGGCATCGGCGAGCTGGGCAAAAAATACATTACCTTCCCAAGTTGTTTTCAGGACACACGACAGGGACTCAAGACAAGGGCGGATGCCGCTGCCGGTGTGACTGTGCGTGCTGAGTTCCGGGTGTTGGAGAATGGCGAGGCGGGGAGCGAGGTCGAGGGCGAAGGTATGGGTGTCGGGGACGCCAAGTGGGTTCTCGTTGAAGACGTAGAGGTTACATGTGCGTGGTATCTCATGCCATTCGTCAAGGGCAAAATGGAGCTCGCGCACCGCGATGTGTGCCGCAAGATCATCGACAGGGTCGAACATAAGAAGCGAAGTTCGATGACGGCGGTCCAAAGACAGGACAGTGGAGCCGAAGCATCAGAAGATTTGAATACTGGCTTTCTTCAGGAGACTAGAGAGCATTACAAGAAACCACAGCCCGTGCAGTTCGGGCAGACACATCAGACCTTTGAGGCAGATGCAGTGGATACACAGAGGACGGCGATACCTAATGCGGATCTGCCGGACAAGATTACGTATAGGTGAATCAATCACAGTCGTTCTGTGTATTCCACAATACCTTTTGGATGCCATGACCCGCACAATATTTCCCAAGTAACAAATAACGCGTTGGATCAAGTCGCATGTTGCTCATAGTAGGCTACCTTTACATACTTTTGCTGGCGATGATGTACATTAGCCTACATGCTCACTAGTCACGATAGTGTATCACTCTCAGGAAGTAGTCATGCATTACGTGATGCAGTTGAAGAATGAACAAAGAAAGACTCCCCATTGTCGAAATCCAGTATGGAGCATGGCCAAGACTTCGGAAATAAAGCATTGGGACGAACGACGATCATAACACGGACCTTGGCAACGGATCATGGTACCAGAAAGTCTTCAATTTTCCTACTGTGCATGGTCACTTGGTGGTAGATCTCCGCTAGCTCATTCGCAATAGCACACTTACATACATCGCGTGTTCACTGTGCGTTTCTGCACCTAGATAAATAAGAAATATATCAATATCCTGACGTACCTTGGATCAGGTCTCGACTTTGCCCGCTGAAAAGACATGTGCGGGCTAAGAAAGTAATATAAAGTCGTGCTTCCTGAAGCGTGTTCAATTATCCATCTTCCAATAATCATCCACTCACCATCACTTTCCAATATAATCTTCCATCACCTACTACCGATCGAAAAATGAGAGCTTCGTGGATCCTATTCGCCTCTACGCTGTGCACTAGCGCCTACTCCCAAAGCTTCCAAGCATCAGGCTCTGCCCAGCAAGTACTTGACTCGTCCGATGTATTCAGCAATTCGTATAAATGCGAAAATGGTGAGTAATCTCACAGCTTTTTCTTTTGAAAACATGTCGATACTAACATTGACAATTAGGTGCCAAACCCACCCCCAACTGTGTCCATCCGTCGGAGAAGCCTACTTGCGCATGTACTTGCAGCAACGGCATTACTTTCAACCAGCCACTCTCGCCCAACCCTCCAACCTACCCATCCGACGAAGCCTGCCAAAAAGCCAAAGCCGACTGCCTTTTGCGTGAGCAGCAACTAAACGCCCAACTCACCGAAGCCCAGCAAAGCGCCGCCGCTGAACTCAACAAGATCAAACAAGAGCACCTACTCCGCGAGCAAGACCTCCTCCAAAAAGAGCAGCAGCTAACCGACGAGCTCAACAGCCTGCGCAGCCCACCCTGGAAATACATCGGTTGCTACACCGACAACAACTACCGCGTGCTACGAGATGGCTTCAAGAAAGACGACAACATGACGCGCGATATGTGCGCGGCATTCTGCAAGGGCCGCAAGTACTACGGTGTACAGTACTCGGTTGAATGCTTCTGTGGCGATTCGTTCATGACTGCGACGGAAAACGTGCCAGAGAATAAGTGCAATATGAAGTGTGGTGGAGGTACCCTGAATTGTGGAGGGTCGCATAAGATGAATATCTTTGAGAAGGTGTATTAGAACTTGCTTGGATGCGGGGAGCGAGAGAGGGTCTTTTGGGGGTGTGCGATGTGAGCGGCAAAGTTTTGTTGTTAGGAGGAGGTGGGATGGAATGTCGGGGCTAGTTGAACAAAACATGCAGATCAATTTAGTAGCAAGTAATTGGAGCATGATATGCCGTGGGCGGTAGTAGTCGGTAGCGGTTAAATTGGTTTGAAGGGAATAGACTTGACTTTGATACCTGCAATCGTGGTAATGTTCCATTACCTGACTAGTAATATTCAGAGCAACCACGGTCGTTGCCGATCATAGTCGCGTAAAGCTAGCAAGACACGGAATGAAGTTTGCACTTTCTTTCGTTGCTATGTACAACCTATCCGGAGGACACTTGTACTCTGCGCACCACAAACGTCATAAAATACGCCTCTGGTCCACATAACCAGAGTAGATTGGGGTCTGCAGGTTGTCGTCCTGTCTCCACCTCCCACGAGGTATTCGTTTCGCTTCCAACCTGGTCCCATAATCGCTTCCAGCTTTCATGGCTATGCATGAAGAACTTCCCAGTGTCGGCGTGATACCCCTCAGTTTCCTGGTCCGTTCCCATATGTCCCCCAAATACCAAGAACTCACAGTTTGGTTTGGATAACCTTACGAGCCGATGAGCTAGCCGCAACTGCTCGTCCCACGTAAAGAGATGGAAGAAGTACTGGGCGTGGACTATGCTGATCTTCCCATCCAGCTGATCCAGGTCAGAGGGCGTTTCGAAGATGTTCGCAACGATGAACTTTGACGCTAGATATTCCTTGTCAAGAAATAATTCGTATCCCAGATTTACAAGTTCCGTCTTTAACTCGCATCCGTACAAGTTCTCCGCCGGCATGCCATCAGTAACCTAAATTCATATTAGTAAGCCCATGGTATCGATGTAGCTATAGCATGTGTAGAGGTCGTATACCATTCTGCGAATCTCTTGGCCAAGGCAGCAGCCGATATCGAGAAGTTTTTCCCCGTTTAGGACACGTTTCTTGACTTCGGGGTAGCATGGTGCCTCTCGTGCTTTCAGGTTTAGGAAGTAATATCCCCCAATGCATGGATAGCGGGACTGAGCATCACGTAAGAGTCAGATCATGCTCGTGCCATATTTGTACCGCTTACAATTTGGTACGCTTTATCTCGCTGCATTATCATCAGTGTCGGGCATGTCTTAGACTCATGATCCACATACCACTTGCTTAATGTGCTCTGCGACACGCTCGGCGGGGATTTTGCTGTGTTTCTCAAAGACCTCTCTTATGGCAGGTTCAATCGTTTCCGGCTCCTCCTTGTACCAAGATGCGTGTGAAGATTCAGGACTCATGGTGCCTGACGATGCAAAAATAATGCAGAAAGGTGCAAATAGCGGTAGGCTTTGTGTGTGACAATCGTAAAATAAGTGAGCCTCTTGAAATCTCCAATCATTCACCGCTATTCGAAAAGCAATACCAACTGCCGCTCCGCTGAATTCTACCCCAATTTTGTAAGTCCGAAAGTCTTATTGGGTCAGTGCTCATGTAAAGAGATCTTGTAGTATCTATTGTCCACTAGGAAGACATCATTCATAGTCAGATGACAGCTAGACTCATGAGCGGGATTTATCGTGTGACCCAAGATGGTGGGCGCCTTACCTTTATCTTGAATTACATCCTCCGTTCGAACTTATTGGTAGTAAACTAAATGCAAGCGTGATTCAAGCGTGCATATACGAAAGTTTATTACTATTCATGACCACGTGATGATATCCCGTTCGCGTTTAGTTTCCGCGGTTAGCCTGCAGCGAGAACAGAAACCCTCATCATTTCTCGCAGAGAGGAGCAGAATCTCGTCGTCGTTTCAATAAACTATCCAGAGTAGGTTACTGCTGGCCTTGAGCCAGGGCTTCGTTCATACATCGTCAATGGTCGCAATGCAATAATGTGGAGATGAGCACATTGCTTCTCTCTGATAGCACAACGTATCTTCTGGCCATATTGGGGTGTAGCGCTCGTTCCAGCGCCTGACTGGCTCCACTCATGTCCGAATTACTGCGTACTATGGTATTGAATAGTGTAAGAAAAGCCCTTGTTACGATAACTAGTCAGAAAGACGCTAGAGATAGTAGCGTTCTAACCTGTTCTAGAAACTTTGACAAGTGTCAGCATATTTGAGAGGGTTTCGTACGCTATAATGTAGCCAAAAGTCATGAGAAAGAACGGAACATGTAGCAGAAAATTCTTTCAAGGGTCCTAAACACCCATTCAAGCTGAGAGAGTAAGGGCCAGATTCACATCGTTTCGCATGTTTCTTCACTGCTGATTGGCTAAAACAGATTTCGCAGAACATAACTGTTTTTGATAGCTAACGGCTTATTAAACATGAATGGAAAACGGGCTATATTGTCCTATTTGCCAACCGTGTGACCCTTCTCACTGAGAATCTGTCCAAAGGCTTCTTCTAACAATCCTAAACCTTCGTCGATTTCCGCCTCCGTCACGGTAACAGGGGGAGCAAGCCGAAAAACACCTCCCATACCCGGCAAGTTTACCACATTACATGAGAGACCGAGCTGGAGAGCACGATTGGAAACGGCTTGGCCAAGTTCAGGTCCAGGTGCCTTGGTTTCCGGATTGGATATGATCTCGATTGCCTGGAAGAGGCCGCGTCCACGAACATCGCCAATACACCAAAACTTCTTCTGTAGCCTAAGAAGTCCTTGTCGCAGCTGTTCTCCACGTTCAGCAGCTTTCTGTGGTATATTATCACGCTCCACGATCTCGAGAACCTTGCAGCCAACTGCTGCAGTAAGCGGGTCATTCAAGTGGGTAGTTAACCACAGAAAACCTGAGTTGCGGCACTTCTCTTCGATCTCAGCAGTAGTAGTGACAGAAGCAAGGGGAAGACCACAACCGAGAGTCTTGGAAAGACAAAGAATATCAGGGACGATGTTGTCTTCTTCGTAGGCAAACATTTGACCAGTACGGCCAACGCCGGTTTGTGCTTCATCCATAATGATGAGCATACCACGCTTCCTGCACTCTTCCTCCATGCGCTTCAAATATCCTTTGGGAGGTACTAGAATCCCTCCAGTAGAAAGGATAGGTTCCATGATAAAAGCAGCAAGGGAGCCCACGCTCTGCCGGTCAATCATGGACCATCCATATTCAAGCTCCGTTTCCCAATCATAGGACCCGTCGGCCTTGCGAAACACAGAGCGGTATGGGTAGGGAGCAGGGAAGGCGAGCTGGCCAGGCATTGTAGGTCCACCATTTCTGCGCCCAGCAGAGTAAGTAGCTGATCCCGAGCCTTGTGTTAGACCGTGATAGCTGGCCGAGAAAGCGATGACCTCAAACTTTCCTGTGGCGCACTTCGCTATTTTGAGAGCAGCCTCAGTGGTTTCAGAACCTGTGTTGAGGAGGAATGTTTTGCAAAGCTGGGGTGGCAAAAAGGTGGACAACCGGCGAGCCAGTTCAACAACAGGTGCGGTAACCATGTTGCTCAGCAAGTGATCTAGATCGCCGACATACTTCCGCACCACCTCTACGACATCTGGGTGGGAGTGTCCCAGGAGAGAGCTCATTTGACCGGATGTGAAATCAAGAATGGACCTGCCGTTGGAATCGTGCAGCCGTACCCCCTGGGCCTTGATGATGATGGCTGGGGAGAACGGAACCCCAGTGTACATGAGGTACTTGTCGACATCTTCCCAGAACTTTGTTTGTTCGCTGTTAACCAACTGGCTACCCATTTCGGTAATGTGTTTGAGCAATTTGAAGGATCCGCTGAGGAGGCGAATGAAGAGGGATTCTGTGAACGACGGATTTGGTGTGTAGCTTGTATGATGCGAGAAGAGAACCTACGCAGGGATTTCAATGAACAAGAAAACGATTTTTCTCTATCTTTCGTTTAGACGTTTCATACCGCGTACATGAGCTTTATACATGTATCGCCATATACGAATGATACCATACTAACATGTAGGTGTCGATGGCAAGTATCTCATGATTGGCTTGCGGTGGGGTTGTCGATCCCGCGGCCCCACACGCGCGGGAGGTACGCCGCGGGAATGTACTTCTCCTATCATAGGATTAGCATACGAATACCAATGCTAGCGAAGACACTCCGTCCACTTTTTATTCTAAAAATCCGGGGCAAACAAGGATGACCTAAACCTCGGTTGCCAACGTTCATCGTCTCAAGTTATCTCCAAGCACCCTGACCGAAGCGCTGACAGCTCGCAAAATGGCTAGGTTCCGCGCAGAAAATCATCTTACTCCTCTTTCCGTGTCGCCGTATTTCCCTTGACAATTACCTAAGTGGCCGCCAGTGCCGAATCACATCTCACATTTTGGGCATTCGAGCCTCTGCTTCCTACCATAAGTCTTTTTGATTCAGACCTGATTACCTAGTACTCGAAGTTCGAGTCACCATGTTTTCGGTAAGCTCTAGAACTGGCTGCTGTGCTGAGACTCGTTGGGGCGGCATCGCTTGAACGATACTCGGACATGATATCAGCGACGTGCTTTCTTTCTTAGGCTACAAAATGAAGCTACCAGAGTAGACACGTGGGTTTGCTTTGTTTTCCTTCAGCATGTCATTTTGCTGTGTATTGATTTCCATTTACTCTTCACGAAGCTCCTCACTCCAAACTAACGGATCCCACTGATCGGCAACAGTAGAGTGGAAGAAGATTGGATCAGAGATGAACGGCGCGGAGTCAAGCAAGGTCATATCCAGCTCCGGAGGAACGTGCTGGTCCCACAATCTATCAACAACGTCCGCATATTGAGTCAGGCAAATGTCGCCTAGTTCCCATCCGTGTAGTTCCTTATGCGAGCGTAAACAGTTTACGAGGTCGTGTGCGAGAGAGAGCGAAAGACTCTGTGTGGGTGATTCGGAAAGAGGAAAGTCCACCTGCACAGCTAGGCGCAGAAGGAACGCGGCTGTAGATGTCAATACAAATGCAGCTGTAGGTAGCCAAAAGTCCTCTAGTTGTTTAACGGACAGTTCCTGCACAAACAACACGATATCTTCTGCTGCTCGACGTGCTTCTAACAGTCGCTCGCTAGATGCCTGGCCCAGTGGAATATCTGCTTCCTCAACACTCAGGTAAAGACGAAGATTGAAGAAATTTAGCGCCAAGTAACACAGTCTGAGATTGGCTGCACCAGGTATAGTCAAGTCAGAGCCTCTAACAAGGATTCGTCTGATATCCCCGGGCAACATATCAGTCCACGTGTTTAGATCAAGCAAAAGGTTACGCGCCAAGGCGGCGATATTTGCCTCTTCACTAATGGCATACAGTCCTTCTAGATAATTACCGAGGGCGGTACTGAGGCTAGCCAATACCTCGAACACTCTGCCCGGCTCGTCGGGAGATGTCCTCTTGGGAAGGGGGATGTCATGATGGGTTTGACGAATGTGTGGTGGTGTCCCATGTGTAAGACTTGTCCATCGATCGTGAATGACAAGGCAGTACCATACATTGGTACGAAAAGTCTTTTCCTGCTCTGTTATGTTCCAGGGCGCAGGATTCCTATGCAAACCGAGGCATTTGGCCAGGGAGATGGCAGAACCCAAGAGCATTCCGTTGCCTACCATGGTGGTGGTTGGACGACCTCCAATATTTAGCAATATGGAAATGATTGATGACATGTCAGGCGAAATGTGTAGTTCGGAGTAGAGAGCATCCAAAGCCAAATTCCAGATGAAACGGCCATCTGGACGATGATATTTCCTCAGTTGCTGGTCCGAGGGCCAGTAGCACATGGCGTGAGCATATAAACAAGCAAGCACAGCCGGCGAAATGCGAGAGCGTGTGCTGGGCTGGGAGAAGAAGTCTTCGTGGAGTATTGGGAAGCATGCGTTTGCTTTGGTGCGATAGACCATAAGCAATGCGTCTTGGTGGGGTTCCAAAAGCTTGACAATCATCTGCAGCTTGGCTGAGGAAGGGTTCGGGTCTATGGTGAGGCCCACAGGTCTCTTCTTGACGCGCATGAAGATGACAGGCGCTGATGCAGTACCAGGCAACGCAGGTCGGATAGCCCGCTCTCCTTGTGCCGCATGAATGCTAGACAGATAGCCTTGAAGGAAATGACTGTCCGCGGCGGTGGCCGGGGCAGCAATATGTGGGTTGTCTTCATTATCGGCGTCGAATGCTACCTCCGGAGCCGCACCGAGGTACAGACTAGGAGATGTTGAAATGGCGGCCAAGTTGGCATCGACAGCCGACGGCCCAAGATCACGTGTTCGCATCGAAGGCTGAGATGGCGACTGGCGAGGGTGACACGAACTCTGCTCAATCTGGTCGTCTCTCCATGTGCCCTGTATTGAACCATTCCGCAGTGTTCGGACACACTGTGTCTGGTGTGCCTTGCACATGAGGCAGGCGTGCTCCGCTGGTTCATACTTGCAGCGCGACTTCCGCCGGCGGCAAGGATTGCACGCTGGCTGGCTCCTGCCCTTCACAACGCGGCGTGGAGGAGATCGCATACTTTCTGAGAGCTGCAGAGAAAACCAACAATTGGCTAGGCGGAAGGGGCGCGGGGCAAGCCAGAGGGTGTTCGAGGCGACGAGTGGGCAAGCGGTAGAGCTTCGCTCCGAGGAATTTGGTTGTGCGCGGCCCGTGGATAGTAGTAGTGGATTCACGTGCCTGTCAACCCACGTCTAGCTTGTTATAAAATGAAGGCTTCTTTGTAGACTAAGCTGCTTGGTCTATGGAGATAATGAAGAAGCACTAAATAACAATGCTCAGTCACTACGTAGAAGAAAATAAAGTAAAGAGCATCGGATACATATTAGTTTCTGGGCTGGTGGCTTGATTACCTACGTAACACTAGCTACTAACTAACTAGAAGAACCCTTCTTTCCTGGCCACTCCTTCACCCAAGCTTCTAGTTGTGCAAGTATTTCGTGAATCACCATCCGAACAGGTTCGTTACGGCGAGCATTCCGATAATAAAGAGAATCACTGCAATGATAACCACCCGGTACAAGATAGGCGGGAAGCTGCGCTGTGCTCTGGAGGGGACCTCCGGGACGAACTTCCGATGCAAACGTAGTCGGTCTCCAATAGTCATACTCTCCATTGGCAATTAACAATCGAGTCGTATTTCCAATATTCCAACCACCCCAATACTCATTGAACTGGTCCACAGTGCGTAAGCCGTATGTCTCCCCATTAGGCCCTTTAGGAAACAACATTTCGCACATGTGGTATCCATACTTAACATCGAGTAAGCGGCTGATGAGGGATGGAGTGCCTTTGGGTGCACCTGCGGTCCAGCCGCCAATCGCCTCGTTGCATTCAAACCAGAGATATTGTCGGTTCCAAGGATTTCCAACGCTGATGTCTGTATAGAACGGGTTGTTGGGGTCGTACGAGTCCTCGCAGTAGGTACTATTTTCACTGTATAGTCCAGGATAGTGCTTGCCGAAGCCGTCTTTGCACATTCCAGGTAGCCTGTAATTCTTGACCCAATTACCCCAGTTCTTTAGTGCTTTCTCAACGCCCACGCCTTCGATGCCAGGAAGCTTGGAGTGTGTGTAATTCCGAGTCGCCGGGTTCCAGACACCCTCAATAGTATCACCATTGATAAATATTCATTACATCCGGGGCAGCGTTGATATCGAACTGCACGTTGAGCCAAAGTTCAGGGTCCCCACTAAGCGTGTTAACAAAATCCTCGTTGTGGGTCAGGTTCTGAAGACCAAAATTGGCTTTGAGTACGTCAATTTCCTTTTGGGAACCATTCAACAGCACACTGTCGATATAATCGATGACCTGTGCCACATCTTTTGTGCAGTTCTTTGGTCCTGCTTTCAGAAAACTATCGCTTTGCCTCCAGTACTCTAGCTCTGAATGTACTGCAGCACTCGTCGCCCAATACGCCCAGAAAGTGCCAGGTAGCTTTGTTGCAATATCAACGGTGATGACACCACTGTATGAGCCACCAGCGAGTACCCATGGCACATCAGACGCAGTGCTATTGGCAGCGAATGGTAGCTTAACATTCTTAGCAAAGTTGACAGTATCGCGCATGACTTGATCAAACGTGAGATACTTTAGGTTCGCAGTAGTCAGTTCCGGGTATGGTGAGGACTCTCCATAATATCGATTTTCGAGTACTACGTATGCTGCTCCAAGATTGCTGGCTAACTGTCCCTGGCTGAAGTAAAATTCTGTCGAACTGTAGTTCCCGTACCACAAATAGAAAGGAGACGCATCGGTCTCTCCAGGTAGCCAGAGTACAATAGGCGAGCCTGGGCCCTTCCAGAACTCGTTGCTCCAAGAATAGCGCATTTTGAACGTTCCAAGGCTGGGGTTATGGTGATCAATCGGCTGCTCGAAGTACCCAATAGCAGGATTGTCTTCAGTGCCTGGGGGTGCCTCTCTTTTTGCGATTTGTATTTGTCCTTGCGGGTCTGGCTTTCCGGAATGTCGACTAGTGATATGTAGAGGGTCCCTAGCGCGAATGGCGAGGCTGGCAGACGCCAGGGAAAGAAGAAGATACAGCATAGCATGCATTGTCTTGGCAAATGTCTTGATTGCTACAAGAAAGCCTGAATATTCAACGAGCAAAATTCGTCTATTTAAAAAAAAAGAAAAAAGAAAACAGTGTTCACCGCTTCAATCTGGCTAAATCGGCCGTTGCTGATTGCGCCCGGTGCACCTATGGCATAGCGGTGACTAGCCCCGTCGAACCCGTCCTAAACTCTCACAATATTGGAGCTACCAGGATATTGGTAGGATGGGTGTTATTTCGGCTGTTCTCGGATCTCCGGAGATTTTGCCAGCCGACTGAGTTGTGAATATTTGTGTGCAAATATGTGGATGATGCTGACAATCATAAGGTTTAGAGCTGACAATTTCAAGGTTAAAGGCCTGTTTGATTGCTCCGTGTCCGTGTCCGTTTCCGGCCGGTTTAAGCTTGTTTTGGGTTAGAACTTTGCAAGGGGCTAGTAGTCAGTGCCCCTCTGGAGATGCTTATTCAAAGCAACGATTGCTCCAATGACTGGCGAAGCTCTCATTTGGACTATAAAACCCCTGGAAAACGCATCAGTCGTCGTCGTTGTTGTTGTTGTCTACTCGAACTCCGCTACAATGAGAAGCCGGTAATGGGGAGGTTGGTTGCAATGAGTTTAGCTTAGTTCTATCATTATTGACGGACTCAATCGTAGTATGATCACATACTTGCATGGGACTGTTATTGATCTCATTTCAGCACTCAAGATCCGGCAGGGAGTTCTACGAGCAAACGAACGAGGCTTCTTTCTAATGTACCTCTACTTCCACTTCCGCATCTTATCTACGTATCAGAAGTGGTACAAATGATTGATGTGGAATTATTAAGTAATCAATCTTTACTCTAAGACATCATTGCGAGGCAATAGCTCTACGTCTACACTTTTACACACCTAGCACTGTGTTTAAAAAGAGATGCGCTGGTAGTACTAGTAAGCTCTCTTACTTCTTTTTCGATTGATAGCTTTGCATAGCGTGCGTAAGAGGGACAACAGTCGTATTTTTTTATCCATATGCAAGCGATAACTTGGAATGTACGGGTAGTTATGAAAAGAAATCTCTGCTAGGACATATCACGTGGGTGGAAGGGGCGAGAGGTGGCGCTGAAGGCACCTAACTACACCAAAACCCCAAATAAGGCAGACTGTGCTCACACCCCTGGCATGACTCCAAACTCTTTATAGATAGGGCTGAACTGACTGCTTCTGTGGCTTTGCAAAGGCTGCAACAGTACCCAGGCATACATACTTCAGAGAGTATTCCTTCGTCCTCGCTCATACAAACAAAATGGACGCCTCAGTGGTTCTAGAGCCTCATTTGTGTCAGTACTCCTCCAGGGTGGTTCGACGCATCACGCGCACAGACACGGTATGTAGTAGGACTCAAGCCTCAATAAGCCACCGTGCCAAGCACCGTGTCCAACCAAGTGCGGCTGAAGCGCTGCCTGGCCGAGGTTACTCATGGAGGGGTCATACTTACAACAGTCGCACCTCTCCCATCGCAGTGAACAGGCAAACCTACGTAGAGAAGCGCCATGTCAAATTACAGCTCAAACACACAGCCCGGCGGTTACCAGGGCGCTTCACAGAACTACGCCCACCAACAGCAGCAGTATGGACAGCCAGGCCACACGTCCAAGGCTGGCGGCATTTTTGGGCAGATGATGAGCCAGGCCGTTTCCACTGGAAAGCCGATGGTGGATAAGCTGGGGCAGACATTGAGCTCGAAGCTTGGAAACAAACCCGCTCCTGGCCCTCCTCAACATCTGCAGAGTTACCAGAATTACCAGAGCCACCAGAACCCGCCAGGCCAAGGCCATGGTTACCAACAGCCGCAGGCTCAGACATACAGTCCCCAGCCGCAACAACAGCAGTGGCAGCAGCCTCAACAGCAACAGCCAACTCCGCCAACAACCTCTTACACTCCTGTACAGCCTTCACCATACCAGCCAAACTATTACTATGGGGCCTCGACCGGTACTCCGCCAAGCCAGAACAATTACTACCCACATCAGAGCCCTCCCCCTCCACCACCAGTGCAAGCGCCTGCTGCGCAACAGCCGCTAAGCGCGCCAGGTTACAACACATCTGAATATGGGCAAGGGCAGCAGGGCCAGCTCGGACAGACAAACGCTACACAATTTCAGCAACACTTTCCGCATGGGCAGCAGAATGCATATCACAGCCAAGAAACTGGCTTCATAGTGGGAGGCCACACTGGGTTGTCGCCACAGTCGGGATATCCTCCTGCGCCGCCAGTGCCACCGCATCCAAAAATCTCACCACCAGAATCAACAGTGTCCCCAAGCCAACAAGCGCAATGGGGGTATGCACAGGATCATGCTCCACATGTTGGTCAGCAACAACCTCCATACTCGCTGGCGCCAAACACGCCATCCCAACAAGAGCTGCAGCACCAACACCAACAACTGCCGCCAAATCCGCCTGGCTCAAACACGCCATACCAGCAAGAGCAAAGTCAACAGCAACAATGGCGTCCCATGTCACCTGCCAATCCAGCAGACGAGGTGGCGAATCCAATCCCTCCATCAATAAGTCCTCCACTGCAGCACAAAGATGTACAAGGACAGTTACCACCGACCAATCTCACACATACACAACCATCTACGCCAGCCCCTCAAAGCTCTGTGTCTCCAGCCACATCTACCGAGTTCACCGCTGAATTACCCGCAGACCTGGGAAGCTTGAGACTAGGTGATCCGCCTGTTGACACGAAAGCAGCCAATCCATCCTCACAGTATCCGGTGCATAGTCCTTCGACGCAGGCTGCTTCACCATCCAACGTTTCTACAAGTCCCCCGCAAAAGGCCAGTATCAGCAGTATGCCGCTTGCAGATCCTTGGAGTTTCGTAAACCCAGTCACAGAAACCCCGACCCGAGAATTCTACATCTTAGCTGATCTGCTGTTTGATGCCCTGGACCGAAATTTTGAGCCGCGAAACTCTGGTTTGTTGGAAGCGCCCAAAATTTTGGCAAGTTGGATTGATCTGCCCGAGGATGCGCGCAGTAAGTCACCTGTAAAGCTGTCCGAAGTCCCCACTGACATAGTAGAAATTTACTCATACAATGGGTATACGGCCCTTGCGCATCAATTTGGACTGGAAGGTATTCCACACGTCATGGTTCCTGTACAACCTCACCTCGCGCCCATATGGAACTTTGATGAGCAGGTACATGCTGAAGAGCTCAAGATATTAGAGCCGCCCTCTGCTACCTCGTCGTACGCAACGTATATGCCCGCGCTCAACCGCGCTGGCTGGTACAAGTTCTTCTTCCTCGAGATTATGCAGAACCCCGACGAGATTTCCACGCTGATGCCAGCACTCTGCGCAGACACGTACAAGCCTGGAGTACTCAATCACCCTGACTTAAGCAAAAGGGACAAATCCGAGGTTCAGGCTCTGCGATCACGCGCCGACGAAGTGCAGACACTCGCGATCAAGCGCGTGGGCGACGAGGCGAGGACCGCTATGATGCTTGATCCCAATATCCCTGTATCCAGTGTGGTGCAGGTGAGGGAATCTCCGGCGACATCCGGAACGCTAGAGCCAGGGTCGCCTGAGGATATAGCCGTGCGAATGCATCGAATTCAAACAGAGCGGCAGTTCAACGATATGGCTGTGAGGACAGTACTTGGCGCAGGCATCACGTTTGGACCAGCAGGTGGCTACTCAGGCGGTTATGCCAGCTTAGTGTGATAGGCAGCTTTGGCACACGTGTTTCGCAGAAGAATGGCAAGGCTGTTGTGTATCGTTGTAAAATCATGAGTAAGTGAAGAAGCACGTTTAGGTTCGTATGGAGATGGACAAACTGGTATTTAGCACATCACCAGATCTGCCCTGTGCTGTTAGATTTACGTAGATGTGCGAGCTTGTCTTGATGCCTGAGGTAAATGAGATGGAATACGAAACATGGCGTTGGCTGAGGTGGCGGTTTAGCGACAGGTGCAAGTGGTGTGTGTCTGCTGTAGTTTGTCCTTTTAGTTCACAGATAAGGACTCTGTTTCGAAAACAAATAAGTGTTTAACTTCAAAGGCCCATTTTATCGACTGCCCATATTCGATGCATTGATCTATGGCTGCAATGTGGTGTTCAGCATATCTGAACTCCTGCTGTCATGATACCAACCTTCATTAAAAACTACGTGACATCCTTGGCGTGGCTCTGTGACCTTGCAAACAGTCTCTCCCATAAAAGACGTTGCTACAGGTACCAGGCATGATTCTTCGACTATTGATAGGCAACCGTGACGTCTCAAGGTTGACAGCAGTGCAGAGTGACGCCGGGCTCCTCACCTTTCTGCTCCATCGGTATAAGAACTACTGACCAACTCTTGTGATTCACATGATGATTGCGAATCCCCAGCCTCCCGTGAAGTCCAGCCAATGTGCCGAAAATCCGTGTCATGGCCTTGACGCGTCTTTGGTATTGTAGATTCAGCGTTAAATACGATGGATGCTTCTAGCATTCATTTGATTGCATTTGTCAAATTGATTCCTTGTCTGCCCGTCTGAATTCTTTCCCTTTGTCTACTTATGGACCTTGACCGCCGGGGATTGCTGTTCTCAAACAAGGATGTCTTTCGTCCAGAGTTTCATTATCTACAATGCTCTAAGATTATCTTTCAAGGATCTTGAACATCATTACGAAACAAATCATGTCCCTCTTGTTCGATCCCTTGGAAATCTCTCTGCCCCTCCGCAGGCTAATGTTCGAAGATTTATTCAGCGTCAGACAGCCTGAACCCTTTCGATGAGATCTCTTAAGTACAAACAACAGTTTCGAAACGCCCGCCATCAACTCTACGAAATCTCCCACCAGCACAAAATTGTGAAAAGGATCCAAAGATTCTAAGCTGGGTGCCAGCTGGCTATATGTGTCTTCCTTAGCATCTACATCTAGTGCTTTACACATGCTTATTAGGGTAGATATTAGCTTACAAAATCCTATACCATACTATGTTAGCCTTTAAAACCAGAGTAGCTTTGTATTGCCTGTAGAGTTATAGCTCACCTGACGCTTTTCCATAGCATTAGCTTGTTTGGGTACTGCGGGTAATGCGGTTACCAAACCGACAGGGACTATAAAAGTAGAAGTCTTCTTCATGTTCCAGATTTCTGTGGAGAAAATTTCATATATTATGTGGTAGAGGTGAATTGCCTAAATACCAAAGGTTGAGTAAAAAAATCCACTCTTTAATATTCACTTGTCACATATGCTAAGGTATTCCACTTGCTCCGGCGTGAGTGACTGAAACAGCGAATTGGAGAGCAACACTAATATGAATGTTCTCTTGGTCCGTGTGTATTACCTAAGAACTAAGAGACTTTCCCCTACTTTCCGCTACTTCGGCCAAGCTACTATCTTTACCTAAACCATCTTGCCCCCTGCTAGAGCCATTGCAAAGAACCTAACACTTTAAAGAAGAGACGTTGGTAGAATTGGCTGCGGAACTGCTGGAGAGCTAGAGCTATAAGCTAGCTCTAGTTAGGAGCTGTCCCAAAGGCGTGCAGCCCGTCACCATCGCTATCGAATATCAACAACAATAGCGATAGGACCGAGGGGTTGAAATACTTTTCACAACATGCTCTGTTCTCCGTTTTCCGTTTGCGTTTTCGATTGAGAGCTTTCACAGGGGACGGCTGGCTAGCGTCACAGCTAGTAGGCGTATCTACAAAAGTTGGGACAGAAAATAGATAGGCTTAGATAGAGCTCCGTTTTGTGGTACGCATGCGATCACGGCCTATATTGTGGCACGATACGTGATCGAGCTCAAAAGATCAGAGGGGCGACCCGCAATCGAGTAGATAGAAANAAGCTGAANGTTNATCGTTGCAAAGGNTNAATTNGAGAAGGTGCCTATCTACGTACGAAAGATAATCGTAATATATACTATACGCTCAGTCACGTGATGCTACACCACAATATCTTGAACCTAGAGGTGTTCTCTTTATCGATAATGTCGAAATCATGATAAAGAAGACATTAGTAGATCTTAAAGACTCGCTACGATGCAAGGGCACTAAAGGAGACTTCATTGCCCTTGCCCTTGTCTAGATTTACTACTTATGATATTTCTATGAGAATCAATACTTGCGGTGGGGCAGCCAAGATCAGCATAGCGATCTCCAAGATTCTTGGAACCGACATAGCAACCACCAGTGACATACTTCCGTGGTAGTGAATGAGATCTGGAGAATGACCCATGTTGGATACGGACAAAATGATGGTCAAGACCAGTGATGCCACGCTGCACGTCTTGTGCATGCTCTCACCTTCGTCCCGTTTAGATACATGATAGAGTTACTGTGGTGTCCATCTCTGCCATTGTGTCGAGACACGATATTACCGAAAAAGGCCGCACCCGTTGCTTCTGCTTCCGCGCCAGTACGTGCACTTGGCCGTGGGGGTGTGCAAGACTCGGTTGTCAGAGCAGGAGTACTTAGTAACCGCGGCAAATATGAACCGTCGATCGCGAGATTCACTGCGACACACGTGTAGATATGCGACAGATCATCCAAACTCTCGAAGCCCATTTGCGCATGATAGTCCAGGGACAAAACGATGCACTCATCATCGACCTGCTGCAGCACAACGCCGAGTCGGAGCGACAGAGCAACGGCCTCGAATGTCGCTACGATACAATCGCCGAGACTAAGTAAGTATCGGCTTGAGTCCTGAGGCGAGCTGCTTGCTCGAGGCTTGTCAGGCCGAGGACTCCTGGCTACCCACAATAACATCATCCTCGCACTAAAATCTCAATGAGACCTGAACAGCCTGCAAAAGTCCAATGGGTTTCTGGAAAGTCCATCCGGCTGCAGGAGCCTTTGACAATAGTGTATTCTGGCCTTTCCTTGTGCCTACTACGCAACCTTTCCTCTTTGAACGGTGGATTGGACATGTTGAAGCGGCTTCATCTAGTGACATTCGATATAATCGGGGGATTCGGCTTCTGGTGAATCCTCTCGCTCTCTGGAGAGGTGCGATTCAGGCAATTCCTTTCGCAACTTGTTCTTCTTTATCAAAGCTGAGGCCTCCATTCGAGTCACGCACAGCTACACCCTTCCTAGGCGTAGACTATATGTCGTGAAACGAGGCAATGCCAGTATGTGATGCTTACTGCACCATATACTAGCTCGTGCGTGTCAATGATTACTGGACTAGGAACTGAGACAGTCTGCCTTGGTTTTGAGTTGTGACTACAGTTGCGGTTTTCGACATCAGACGATGATCGGTACGTGGTCACAATGCAGTTTCCAGTTATCATGATCTCGAAGATGAAACTGAAGTGTTTCTTACTTACAAATCTAAAGTTATTTCTAGATACCATCGAGCAAATTATCCTCAGTTACATAATAGGAAACCCCAGCTAGCAAATAATCCCGCTCTTCACCCGAGATTACAATATGGCTCTCAGCGCATAGTACTTCTCTCCGAACCGTAGTAACATATGGAAAGCAAAATAGCAAATAGGTCATCGTGTTCTCTTAGAGACAATCTATTTGTTTTTAGGACGCCGCATATGATACGATCGTCATAGTGGTCAGGCTTTCGGTTGATCGATTGAGCTCTTACGGTATAGACCCTGGAAAAGATCCAACATTGTTCTTTTGATGCTTTCCTGTTACCTTTCAAGGTCTTTACTAGATCTGCTTCGCTTATTCGTGCTGTTTGCGTTTTCAGTGCTGCGCATCCTCAGTTTGCGCGGACTACCTGCACATACGATTACACTTTAACTTCCTGTCAGCGGCTTCTGCTTTCAGAGCGTGCTTCCCTCGTGCCTCTTTTCACTCCTTGTATTACATTCCTTGGATGTCGTGACTCCCATCTCGTTATCGAAAGCTACGGTCGCTCCGCTAGACTCGGCGCTTACCTTGTATGGTAGTGCTGGAAATTTAGTGACCCGGCTTGCACGCCTTCAAGGAACACATGTAGCGCAAGCTACTCCACAACATAGAGTCGCTAAAGGTTACGGTGATAATTCTATTAGTATTCATGGGTAGCTATAGGTCAACTAATCAAAATATTCTTCCATTATCAACCTTAGAAAGCGCTTAACGTGTGATAGGTGGGCATCTCGAATATCTACGTACACTATTTCTTTGTTGGAAAACTCCTTCTTACTTAGGTTCAATATAGGATGGTGTGCTTCATCTCGTTTAATCGTACAGGGTAGACAATCCGCCAAATAATTTCCTGCCGCTACATCCTTTGGTTGTCATCATGATCATTGCCTTGACCCGATGTACGCTAGTGCGCACCCATGATTCCGGATGATATAGCTAGGATCTCAGGTTATATGCTCGCGACATAGCTGCAAGGCGATCTATTAGTGTGCAGTCTTGACGACCTCGCGGAGTGACTGCAATAGAACCGCACCATGAATTGCAACACCAAGTCTGTCCTATCACTCTATGTTTTCATACAGAGCTGCATCCTTGTGCGCGCATAATAACTCTATAATACACTGCGAATAAAAAGGTCATCTTCATCAAAAACGCTACTTGCAGGTTGGCCAGCAACTGGCAATAATACGATGGGCAAAATATTACAAGGAAGTTTCAAAATTAATCGCTTGCAGGAAGTAGAGAATGCATTGAATCGGAAAATTCGATTGCCTGATCGCAAATCCTACGATCACGAGACATGTGCGGTATCAGGGCTGTGCTGCACTTTAGAGAGGTGAGCATGCCTGTGCGTCGTCCATAGTCTAGTCGACCCCATATCTTCCCTTCCAAAAAGACCTAGCAGCTTATCGTCACCTTGAAAGATCAAGCGAGCTGTAATGTGCACGCAAGCAGGGTCAGCCCAGAGTACGGGAGGATACCAGCTTTTTACCTGCAAGGCTTGAAAAGTAGAAAGGCGGATCATTTGTGGCGATTCAGACTAACTTCAACGATACCTTTCTCGGCGGGTTCTGCTGCTACTGAGAGGCATCTCTCAAATATACGGGAAGGGTGCTTCAGAGTGGACGAATAACGGGGAAAAGTTGCGGGGTACCGCATGCTGGGTGGGCTTGGTGAAACTCAATGAAGCGCTGATAACTCTAAAGGCGTCGTTCTCGGTAAGAACCTCCACGTGCGACCTTCCCTCGGCGCCGGCCGTCCACGTACGCCACATGCAGGAAGCCGATGACATGCCGTTGAATGGCTGCCAGGATACATAACAGGATATCAAGAGGCGGTTGTGAAAGTGTGGGAAGGGTTTTCAATATGTGGAGTTGGGGAAAGTGGAGCTGGCTCCGATGGTTCACTAATGAAACGCGGAGAGTTTTGAACGTACATATTTGAGCAGTAATTTCTACAGTGGCAAGGTGGCAAGATCCGCCCAGCATTGCAAGTGTTGAGGATCGCCAGCATAGAACCATGGCTACGCATGACAAGCGTCCGGTAGAGGAAATCCGGGAAATTTCAAGGCATCCCGCAAGACGATGGCTCTAGTGGCGGAAGAGGCTGAGGATCGGATGTTGAACAATACGTGCCTCGGAACGAGCCCTTTCCTACAAGCACAATCAGAAAGTCCCCCGAGTACGGCCGTTCATAAACAGTGGGCCTAAATATCCAGTTTTCCTTGGTTGAACGAGGTTGGTGACGAAGATTGTCGTGGCGTGAAACACAACTTTGATAACGATATCTCTGCCTAGCATCAAGTACGAAGGGTCCGGCGCCTCTTTGTGTGGCGTCTGTTGAATACCTGATTCATTTGGGTGCTGATTGGTGCTAATTGGCGCTGGTTGATGTTTGATTCCTGTTTTGTACCCGTGCGAAGGCCAGAAGGATCCACGAACGAGTCAGTTCCAAGCACTATCGAGAAAGTTGCCATTAGGACGCAAAGGCCTCGGTAAGTCTGGGAATAAATGTGGCAAACTGAGGGCCTGTTCACTTCTCCATTTCCGTTGTGTTCTCGTGCTGGGTTTAGCGCTTCAACAAGGGAGGGCTGGCTAGCGTTGCAACTAGGCCATCTAGATTGGGAACGAAACGGAGGGGGTGTTCAGTTACTGGAGCTCCGTTTTATGGTCACGTCGGATCACGTAACGGGCTACTCTAACAGAACGGGCAGCAAAATAGAGCTTTCAGCTACCGCTAGAGCTTTGGAGGACTAGGAAGAAGAAACGGCGCTCCGTTTCGTTTAATATAAAAAGCAGAATATATAGAGCAAATTAGCACTGGATGGGGAGTTTTTTATTACGGGCGTAGGGCTAATATAATCTAGCGTCGTTTTAGGGTCGCGAGACGCTCATTTTTCGAATACGACACCGTTGCAGCTTGTTTTTCTCAGAGGGAATTGAGATAGTTACTAGAATAGGGTTAGTCGCCGGAAAACGGAAATGGAGGTGAACAGACCCTGAAGCGGTAAACTGCGAGCGGTCGTGTTGGCAACGGTTGCGTGCACGCTAGCTTACCGCATCGACTTTTGGGGCTGGGTTTGCCCCCACCTGTCCTGTCATCACGTCCCTCTTCCCGCCCTGTCGCCCTGTCACAATGACAGCGTGACATGTAAAAGCACACTCTCTCAGCTCGGCTAAGTGGCACTAGGATCGTGGCAGCCTGAAACTACTGAACGCCTGATGTATGTTCCGATGGCAGGGCGTGTGGGAGCGATCGTCAACCATGGCAAAAACCGGGTCGTCTTGGAAGTCACCAGCATGGGCTGGGTCGCATTGCAGCGGCGACAAAACGGGTCATGAGGTGGAGGAGGAGTTTGATTCCCAACAAGTTGCGCAGTGCCCGAGGGTGTCGGGGAAGAGGGAGAAGGGAAGGATATGGATGAGCAGCACACGGGCCTCGCACGTGGTAACGGGCACTAAGATGACGCCAGTGGCCGAACGTTGGCCCGAGCCAGACTTTTGCTCATTCCCGCGTGAGCAGTGCCTGGTTACTGGTTCCACTCATGATTGCGCGGTCAAATCACCCAATAGTTACAAAGGATGCGTGCGGCTTCGCGGCACGCTAGTCGGAAACATAGCGCTCGGACTCCTATTTGAAAAAAGTAAATGCACCGTGCCGGACATTTATGGCATGCCTATGTCGGATTGGTACGTACCCTGTTGTCGATTCATGCACACGTTCTGCGCAAGCCCCCAGCTGCATTGAACCATGATCGACGAGTATGCCCCGCCTCTCTCATTACCGTCTGTGAACACGAAATGAAGGACGGGATGACCAAGACTGCTGTACGCGTACTGGCGTCACCGGAGAGCGAGTCGTTGAAAAGTATGCTTGCATGCTTCCGCTGAGCGGTTGTGTCCAGTGGTGGCCTTGCAACTCTCATCACACGCTAGTTTTGCTGAAATAAACGAATATAAGCACTTGAAACATATATCGACTGTGCATAACAGTTCAGTGCTCCAGCCCACTATCTAAATGCTGGCTACGCTCCCAATTTGTTCACCTAGTTGACGTTCATCGATATGCCTGGTGGCACGAACCCCCCGTTGAGTGTTATAGCTTCGTGGCCGCCTCCCAACTATGTTAATCCAGAAGGAAGAGGAAGAGTGACGTCCAACATCGCTTTCGTCCTAACGCCTATTACCTTTTTTACCGTATTCTCAAGACTGTGGGTTCGATTCTATATGCAGCGCAATGCTGGCTGGGATGACTGGCTCATGGTTGTTGCTCTTGTAAATTACCTTTCATTCCAGGACATTGTTCATTCACTTACCGTCTCACAGCCAATCGTCATGACTTTGGCTATTCTTATCCCATGGAGTAAGATTTTGACCCATCTTCCCTCCAGTTCACAGCTGACTCCTCATAGCTGCAGACAAATATCACAGCGGAGTGCACATATGGGATGTCGATCTCACCTTGTTTGAGGTTCAAAGAAAACTCATCTTGGCCATAGAGGTCCTATTTGTCCTCGGCACAGGGCTTGTCAAAGTTTCTATCCTTCTCTTCTTCCGTCGCCTAGGTTCGCGCGGCACATCCAAAGCCTTTAGAATCACCACCTGGGTTGCAATTGGGTTCCAAGTCGCGTCCACAGTTACTTTCTTCATAAGTCCGCTTGTTGGATGCAAGCCCATCTCGGCTTACTGGGAGCAGTCGAACGTCATAAACATAGCGCTAGGAAAGAAATTCAACTGCAATGAGGAGGGTGCTGCCATGGCAGCCGCTGGCGTCATATCCACGGTGCAAGACGTAATCTGTGCTCTACTCCCCAACTTTATCTACTGGAAAGCTAAAATCCCAATTCGACAAAAAGTAGCACTGATGGCCATATTTGCTACTGCTTATGGAGCAGCTGCGTTTGGGGCTTTGCGAACATATGCCACCTACGTTCTTTTCTATGAAACGTACGATATCTCCTGGCAACTCTGGGAAATTTGGAACTGAACCCTCCTGGAGCTTCATATCGGTGTGATTTGCGCAAACGCGCCTGCTCTCAAGGTCTTCGTGAAGCGGTACCTCAACGTCAAATCTTTAGTCTCCAAGGGCCACGGCTCTTCGCAAGCGAAATCATCACAAGCGAAATCGTCGCAAGCAAAATCATCCCAAGCAAAGTCATCGCAGACGGCGAGCCAAGCGAACAGCACCCCCTCGGGAAAATCCAGAGCAAAGCTGGCCATATGGAAAAATTCTTTCGCGAACCACGGATATTATTCACAACCAACGCAACTATCTGTTCATGACCAAAGTGGTGTGCAGACTGGCGAAGAGTCGGATCAACATACGTCGCGTAATCCCAAAACCTCTAGGGATTCAAATTCAAGTCACGAACACTATGCGAATGATGATGTTGAGATGGGAATACTCAACAATGCCGCATCCTACCCGAGCCAGCCTCCGGAGGCACATAGGGGGAGTCGCGGTTTGGTATCTTTATATATGTACGATAGTGAGTTAGAGGATGAAAGCATGAGCCGAGGATTTCGACACATGAGAATTGAGGTATAAACTCTTACATTAAGACTGAAAACGAATAATGAAGTTGTATGACATCTTGTATTATCGAATAGCGCGGTATTGAGTGGTATCTACGATTTTGTGAGGGCTGACCAGTATGACCAAATATCGCATCTTGTCCCACTGGCGTTGGTAATGATACAAGCGCACGGGAGTGTGGTAGACTAGAGCGCTGGGGTGGAAGTCGTACTCACGAGGAACCCTTGAGACGAAATCTCATGTCGCCAGCCTTTTGACGACTGGGCATGCCAGCAATAGGACCAGTCGATGCTTTGAGCCTGGCCAATTTTGTGGTAATCATTATCATATTAGTACTCTCGTCGGCAGCTCCCACGTTCCCCCAAAGCTATGTACGTATGAGGTAGCTACAATCCCCTCTACTCGCTGATAACAAGCTCTCAGTCCTTCAATGCTACCTCCCTTAAACCCCCGATCTCAAATACTAATACCAGCCTACAAACTACTGCGGACGCCACTTAAAGGCATAGTACAGAGTTCAGTACGTCCCATACGCTCACCAATTTTAGTGATTAGAAGATAATGATGCCAAACATTAGATAGATAAATCTGCCACATCCAGCCAGCACGTTGGCAACGACCGCCAGAGGTGGTACTGCATTGTTCCCGTCATATTGACCCAACGATTGTTCGGCGCAAAGCGTGAATTCTTTTGCCAATAGTCCTATGATTTTGCGAAAACCTTTCGTGGCGTTCCAATTTCTGACTCCCTTATTCGCACTCTCTTGCCGTGAATGTGCACTGCTTCTCACGTACGCAAAACTAAATGCCGCAACAAGATGGACTACGCCAGCGAGTGAAGTCCACAGTAGAGGACCAAAAGTGGTTGTGCATCCCCAGCTCAGAATACTGTTACGACCAAGTTCCAAGCTTGTCCATACAATGTTGAAAACTGCACCTGCTACCAGCACATACTGTAGCACAGTCAGCAATCCTATAGCCTATTTGGAGTGCTTTGGGGTGTGAATGCGGAGCAGAGTGCCGCGCGCGTCATTTTCCATGCCCTTCAGTACACGCGTTGGGTCATTATACTCAAGTAATCTTGTTGGCCAGATTGATGGTGCGTCCAATGCGATTAGGAAACTCAGTGCTGGCCGATGGGCTGAAAGCAGCGCCATCTCAGCGATACTCGGTGCAATTGTTGACAGTAATGTTGGCATGAGGCCTAACACGACAGTTGCAGAGATGAAGTTCGCTAGTACGTCCGATGGCATGTTGTCCAGGATACATTTTTCATGTTCATAGCAGATCGACAGGAGCTGTTTGGCTACCAGTGAAGAAGACAGGGCTGAGTAGGTAATGTTGTAGTCTGTAAGGGTCGTGACGCATGTCACTCTTGATGCTTCGGCCAAGTGTGTAGCATACTTGTGGAAGAAAGAACTGTATTGTGGAAACCAGAGTCGTGGGAAGAAAGTGGATGCATGATAGCTAGAGTTGTACTGTTCGGCAGTGATGGGGAGGGCAAACAAATGACAGATGAGGAGTAGGGGAAACTTCGAAAGCATTGTGATAAGAAGCTTAGACTGACGGCGAATTCGACATTTGATGCGCACGTATATACTTATAAAAAGATCTATTTCGGCCCCCACAATTCAACTATCGCTTTTTGTGCTAATCACTAGCTCTAAGGCGCACTTGTAACGTGCTGGGAGTTTGCATGCGCGCGAGCGGTTTCAAACACCTCAAAATGTACGTTTGAAACATTACTTATTTTTTGACCACTAATTCTCTCGAACGTTTTGCGTTGTCGTTTTGCCTTTTGTATGTTTTTTAGTCTTTAAAAAACTAATATCACTAAGAGAGATGCCATACATCACTCTCAGTCATGTATGCTTAACCGACTGCTTCGCGTGGTCGAGCTTCTGTTGTGGCTCGATAAGCAAGGATTTTGTGATCCATCCACCCATTGGATTTTGTACGACTATAAAACATAATGAATTCTTGGGAAATCGCCGATGGCAATAACGCTTTGCCATTGATTTCTCTAGGGCTGAGTGAACAGGAAGCTTTGCGTTACGTGGTCTGGTAGCTATGTTTCAGCCTTGTGTGTTGTTCACTATCTTCATCCGCTCATTGGGCGTGTGGTCAATATCGGGCGCTTAGAGATATAATATTTGGCGCTACCGCTAACTTGATAAGGCGGTCTTCATAGGTCTGCTCCCCCAATAGTAAAGCTAATTGGCGCGAGATCGCCGCCTACGAGTTTGTCCGACGGCAGGCCGAAAGTGACATCTCCTGGATCTTCAAAGCAGTGTTTTAGCATTGGAGGGGACTTACTGACCACGGCCGCCAGCTCTTACTTGATCACCATGATATAGTGGAGAACGCGCGTGCAGTCGCCAAATGTTTTACACAACGCCATGCCGCTGCGTTTCTCTACAGTTGGCACTCTCACGGTAGTCTTTTGCTGTAGGTCAAACGATCCCACCTGCAGACAGCGCCAACACCTTGGCGGCAACACAGCTCTTTACTTCTGCATCCTAAATTGGTGGGTTCACGAAAAGCTGTTGTAGAAAATTGGCACAGACAAGGGCAAGTGAGCCAAGTATTGCTTCTATTTTAAGCTAGCTGTAGTAGCTGGACCTTTCTTTTACCCCACCCACTGATCGGTGAACAAAATGCAGATTTCTTTATTAATATGAACAAGGCTAGGGATCCTCAAATTAATGACTTAAATACAAACATCGATAGTGTGAACCCCGATTACACCCTACTAGTATGTATTCTGCCTACTTTCAGCTCTCACTACTTTGTAAGTCTATAATTTCAGTCGACGATTTATTAGAACCATTAGCTTTATACAAGACGACATGGGTGCCAAAAATAAGACGTGCAAGTATACGACCTGTAATGAATTAGCAGTAAATCAACTTGACTATCGCTATTCAGAGATCGAAGGCTACCCATACTATATTACTGAATTAAGTGAATAAACTTCGAGAGCCGTTCAATAACTGTTTTTAGATGTGGAATAGTATGCTCAAAGTAGAACAGTGCTAGCAATTAAACAAATGGACTTGTTCTTCTCGTCACTGCTAGTTGGTGTAGTTGGCGGAGTAGGGACCCTCTGCGACATGTTTAACATATTGCTAAACACGATTGAATCATGCCTAAAAAGCGACGATCCAACCCACAGCTCCGAACATTACTCTCATTCGACTTCGATCGTCGATCCGCTAGCACGACCAAATGGTCCCTTTATTGATACTAGTTACATTTTTTCAAGTTGAACTTCATTACGAAAAAGACGTAATAACCATGCGACCTTCTGGGATTTTATCACTCTACATCAAATCGACCAATTTTAGATACTGGACAATGCCATACTGTGTGCACTTGGGACGGATATTATGCTTGTAGGAGAAATCGATACAGAGTTTCATTTCGTCTACTCACCCGGCAGATGCACCAACAATCTGGATAAGTCCACATGATACTGGAACTAATGGTATCGGTAGATCGTTTGGAGTAGTCTAGACGTTGGAGAAATGTCAGCTAAAAGTCGGGAATGCAAGTTCAAGGCTTAAGCCTGATTGCGTGCTTACCACCCCAACAACCATCAGTTTTCCACCAATGCGAATGATTGATAATCCAGACTCGTAAGCTTTGACACTACCACTGAGAATTGCCGCTGCATGGACCCCGCCTCTATTAACTTTCCGGATGTGGGTCACGAAATTAGGGTCTAGCGGATCCATGATCTTGGATGTTCCCGTTGAGCTTGTCCAATATCTATACCCGCAAATTTAAGACCAATTGCTACTACATATTGAACGGCTACGATAGTAAAGCTATTCTTAGCGAAGATCATAGACATCTCTTACCTAGACGTCTAAGACCACCAATGCTAACTACTGCGATCCACTAGCTAGGTGATAAGCTAGCTTTATCAATAGCATAGAGGGGAGTTAAAACAGCGCAGAATAAAGGCGTCATAGTCTTAGGATCCGTCCTACCTAGTAGCTTTATAGCCTAACTCTTCTTAACTAGAGTATATTTAGCGATAAACCTATTACTATAGAAGCTCCATTAGGTTACTAATAGATAGGTAATAAGTAAAATACTATATACTTCGCAGCTACTATATACGTTTAGATATAGAAGAAACTAACGGTCTTATTCCTCTTAAAGTAAGAAACTTAATCTCTAACCTTAATAACCGCTCTATAGACTTTATACCCTAGTATTAAGGACGATTAGCTACCTCTACCTATTAGCTTAATATATCCTTTGAAGAGTTCTAAATTAGAGTAATAAAGTCTAGTAGCTTAGACCTTAGCGAGCATCTATATAGGTCCAGGCTTCAGGATTAGTATCTTTTCCACTGTCACATGGCCATCTGGGCCAGGCCCATGGAAACGGCCTGCTTTCATTATCTTTGGCAGCTGTGATTGTCAATTGTTTCTGGTTGATGTAGCTTCGAAACTCAGCAGAAGGTATTAAGTTCTCACCCTAGCAAACTTAGCTATCCGTGGCTAGTAAGATTACCAATTGTATGGCAAGTCACGCAAAGGTCAAGGCAATTGCCATCTTTATAGGTTTGCGCAAGCCAAGCCGCTCATCCCGCGCCTCCCGCATTGATATCGACCCGAATACACTGTATGCTTACACTCAACCGTGGTCAGAAAGTACTTAAATCACTTCCTGCAGTTCCGTGCCCGTCGTACTGTCTCCGATTCTTCTTCGAATCATACTGCTAGGAAATTGTGCTCGAAGCTTTGCAGCGACTATCTCAGCAGTCATGTAGTCTGTCACCTTTTTCTCACTATGCGCTTTGCTTGCCACACACATTGATTACAAGTGCTGAAAACTGCATTGCTTTCAGATACCATATAAAAAAATAGTCTTCCTCCGGCTGGGAACGCAATAAATCCGTAGACAGGGAGCAGCGACGAGTCCATGTAGAATGTGGGTCCGTAGCCGAGCAATACACAAGATGCTCCTAATCCACGTTTTTAACGCAGCTGACGCTGGCACTTTCGTTCTTAGTTTAGCGCACGAGATAGGACTTGCGTAGAATGCAGGCGGCAGTAACCCTGCGGGCTTAGCATAAACTATAAAGAATATAATTAAGGCAGCTAGTTTTAAGTTAAAGATAGCTTAGGTAGAAGGCGATAATATCACTAGCATAATATTTAAACTCCGTAAGGAAGGTAAGGTCTTTATCAGCATAGAAGACAGGAAATCGTTAGTAGAATAGGAAGGGGGACTAATATATATGCACAGTACTACGTGGCACAGGAACCGCGCACGCATTAGAGAGCGGCGCTGACATTGTTGTGTGTGGTCTCGTGGCGGGTGCATCAGAATGAGAACTACGGTTGCTGATGCGAATGCAGGTAGCATGTATGGAACCTAGACAACAATCTGAACAAAATAGCTACTTCACTGGTTGCCAAGAGTCTAACAGAGTGCAGTACCTATGTAACTGGCGGTTGCAACGTCGGTTTCAAACAATTTCGGGATAGTCGTGCTGACCTTAGCTGATCCATCGCAAGTATTAATTCTTTCGGAATATTGTGGTGACCCTGGAGGACGACAAGGACGGTGAGGACTGCGAAGTCTTCTTCAGCACCATTGCATCGCAGCTAGTTTGCGAGATTTAAGGTCCTCTTTAGGGCAATTCCGACATCATCGCCAAGATGGAAACACCTCCAGGTTCAGAAAGTAGGCCGTGATCGCGTGCGTATCGCTGGTGGCCAAAAGCTTCCCAGTGCCTGTAAATACTAAGGTCAGCATACTTGTAAGAGATGAATATTGAGCGGAATTCCGATAACCCATCCCAGGGCTTGATATAAATGGAAAGGTCCGGATGACTGAGGAGGTGAAGGCACAGAGGAACTGCTGCCATTTCAGCAACAGAGCGCCGCGCTCAGGAGCTTCGATCTTGATGCGGTAAACAGCGATCGTAGGATGAATCAGGGCAGCGGATTGCAGCGTTCTTGAAAAACCCTTCGCAATAGTGGTGTTGACGGCTCAAATCCGATGTGTAATTGAAGATGACTGCTGTTTGTACGCTAGTATAGTCACAATAACTGACATGCTTCGAATTCTATAAGAATCCCGCATCTATATCTAGAGCTTCGTAAAGAACTGGTTCAAGGTCGTTGCTAGCTCGTGTTAAAACAATAAAAAGACTCGCACCCAATCTTGATGATAAAACTAGAGTTGTAGTGGGATAGCGCTGGCGCAGCTGAGATTCTGCTAAATGCAGTACAGCTGACAGCATGCTCTACTGTTGAGACGATACTGTAGTGACTATTTAAATCAGCAGAAAATTGTTGTTCAAGTGTTTCGATAGCCAGTAAATCCTTCCTTCCATGTCTTTTGTTAAGTAGAGGATGATTTTGAGAAGCCGCGCTTAGATGTGAATTTAGTTTCATCTCTGGTAAGCGCATTGCAAAACATGTATACTTCAAATGAATGCCTACTCCACACATCTGCATGCATTACTAATAGTACTCCTTGATATCTGACAGAACATCCTTATAAGCTAGCCCGCTCGATAGCTTAACACAGTATATGTAGTCGCCCCACCCGCATCCCTCATATAGAAGAAATACCTTTTAGACAAATATTTGCATTTGCGTTTAGCGTTTGTGTTGAGCTCCGTAGGACAACAAGGGGAGCGAGAAGTGTGTGCGCACCCAAGTGCTCTCTGATGCAGTGGAATGAGTAGCTTCTCCAGCTTGGCGATTAGATTTGGTATAGCTTGCGCTAATACTAAAAGTCATTAAACAGCCACCAAAAGCGCTAACAGAGCTGAAACTGAAACTGGCCGCCAAACAGGTTGGCATTACCACATAAAGATCGCATAGCCTTTCGAGGGGCTATTGAAGTAATAACAATGCGCAAAAGTCGTAAGAGAAGGTCCATACAGGCAAATGAGACCTAAATAGTTGACGAGGTAACTGACCCAAAAGCTGAAGAAAAGAGTTTTGGGTGTGAAAAAGGTGAGGAGCCGGCAAAGGGGACACGCGCAGGGCGGTTTGCGGCCAGATAGTGCATAACTCCTAGTATGTCTCCGAGCAAGCTGTGTAGCCGATTCAGGTGATATAGCCACCCCCTTCACATGGAAAGTGATACACTTCTTGTCACGCTAGCACAGATCCGGAGGAAAAACAACCCCCATAAAGCAGGATAGCGACGAGAAGTGTATCACTCCTCGTGTGAAGGAGGTGCAGCAAAGGCACGATGCACGCCAAGCGAGGGGAACATGACCGAATAATGTAGGTTGTGAAAAAGCAAGCTACTCATGAAGTCGATTGGTAAATCTGCGGGGTGACATCGCCGCAGTTACTGATTGGCCAATTGATTATAAATAGGCCCTAGAAGTGCATTGGATAAAGATATAACTGGTTGAGCAGCCGGGATCGTACCAAACTTTCTCTTCACCGATTAGAGCAGTTCTCGTCACACATGGTTTCCGCGGACCTGGTTGAAAGGGCCTTTAGTACGCTAACGGCTAGCTTAACCAATCATTCTTCTGATAAGTTGTCCGGGTATAGGGGTAGCTGTGCTACAATTCCTTTTTCTTCAGCCGCTTCCGTGGCTCGACTTAGTCAGCTCCGAGGAGACTTGATGTCTTACGCCATTAACTCGCTGGTGTACATAAAACATCACTACCAGGTCTTTTCAACTCAAATCGCAATCACAAAATAAAAATGTCCACCACTACAAGTACTCATGTTGTAGCTCCATGGGGCTATGATTTGCTGCCTTCTCAGAAAGATGTCCGAGCGCAATGGAAATTTCAAATCTTCGGTTCGATAGTTTTGTGCGTATTTGTTTATTTGGTGGATGCGACGCAAGATACTAACATATTTTGTTCAGAGGCGGATATTATTGGGAGTAAGTCTTTTATATTAGCATGTATCTTCTGAATTGAAACGCATGATTCTAATCTAAGTTTCTAGTACAATCATATCTCTTCCAAGAGATTTCCAATTTATCTTTCAGCGACGGTTCAACTATGCGACAGTTCTTTTCATTGTTAACAGGTAATATAATATTACGTTCGTCGTTTCCGGCCGTTGCAGACTATATACTGACTCAACAGGGTCTGCTGCACCATCACACTGACAAACTTCTGGATTTTTGCAGTTTATTCTGGCAGCCAGTGTTTACTCGTGTATAAAATTGGAGGCATTCTAGAACCAGTCACGATATTCACATCACAAGCTTTGTTGCTAATCAGGCACGTACTTCTGTCTGAGAATCATGTTAATGTCCACGTAGTAGATTCCTAACATGCTTATAGAGTTCACGTTCTCTACCAAGATAATTTGTATCTCCTGATGTTCATGGTTCTGTTCTTGTGAGATTCGCTCTTTCTTGTGGAAGTCAAGCTTTCTAATTCAACATCAGATTCGCAGGTCCGGTATTGGCTCTCGTAGAGGCTTTTAGAACAACTGCATCGAATCTTCCAGGAAACGTTGGTTGCATTTTCGGCCCATCTTCACCTTATATATATTTGGTGTTCCTATTGCAAGCCTCGTTCGACTGTTTATGTTTCATCCTTTGCATGTATAAGGTGAGCTATCCGAAGAAATTGCCTCCCCTTGAAAATCACTATAAGTTGGCATTGTGCATGGCTAATCTATCGTAGCTCTTCAGAGTGGGACAGGGAGGTGGATTCATGAGGATTGGAAAAGAAATGGTAAATGGTGGTGTAAGTGGGATAATTCTTATGAACGCCACTTCCTGACGGCCTTATCTAACTTGATCACTCAGCTGGTTTACTATATTCCCAATGTCGTCATACAAATTGCAACAATCATTTTGACCTCACAAAAGGGCATCGAAGATCAGTTCATTTTGCCAGCCGCGGCAGATGGGATTGCTTCAGCTCAGGCTCTTAGAATTACACGCAACCTGTGGAGAAGCGGTCAAAAACAGACATATCAGATGGAAGACCCAATGAGCTTAACTGCCATATGTTCCAAAGAAGGAACTCTCCCTGGTGATGGCAAGGTAGACGTTTATCCGGTATCTATGTCAAAAGGTGATGATCCCCGCAGGGTAGAGATGACGTGATTGATATGATGCCAGGAGATGGGAATCGTTGAAGTAAATCGTATTGTATATGGATGGCTATGTAGCTTAGGAGTCACGGTCTCTTTTGAATACAATCTCTTGTATAACAACTGTTCACTTCCTGAGTGTAGCTCATTACAGTGCCCTCTACCTACAACGTACATCGAATGTGATGAACAGATTTTGTTTTTGTAATACATATCAGTAAAATCAATCAGTCTTTGATGTTTCAATAAATCTAATATGATCTTTCCAACATTAACTGTATAAGAAAAAAGCTCGATTATCTTGACCGAAGTTCTATTGAAGTCGAAGAATGGGCCAGAGAGGAGAGAATGCTATACATTTAGTGCATAAGGATATGTTCTCTGTTTAAAGGATAGTGGGCAACCTCGTCATTCATGAATCCATTTAAATAGCTGTGAACTGTTAGCGGAATGCTAACATATCGAGTGGAAGCACTCACCATTTTGATGAATTGCTAGCTTTCTACACCTTGCTCCCAGGCCGATTTTCGATTGAGATATGATACAGGTCCACCAGCGAGTATTACTGCTACATGTACTTCCTGTAAACTGTCTGTACCCAATCCAATAGCACCTGATAGAGTTAGAAAGAACCGTCGACTCAATCGGAAATCAGGCCATGACGGTAATTCGGGAGATTGAAGCAGCGTAAGTTCTTCCCCCTTCGTTCTTCGTAAGACTGTCATACCAGAAGCTGCGCCCTGGGAGAGTCGGCAACCATAGTCTAATTGGTTTGCTAAGAAAATATCCCAGAACGATGAGATGCAACTCCATCCGTTAGCCCTTTCGATCATCATTCGAAGCTCGACCGCGTCCGGCGTCCAATCGCGATCACCGAAAGTTATCTTCACGGCATTGACGGTAATCCCTAGCGAGAGAAGACGAACATTCCCTACATCTTTGTTGAGTCGCGCGATGTTTGGCGTTGTCATACCACCATCCTTGCAGATCCACAGATCCTTCGCGCAAGAGACGAAAGGTAGCATTTCCTTTTCATACATTCGCAACTACAAACGCGCTATTGTTTCATTGAGGTGAGTCGACGTATAGGAGAGCATGTTGGGGTTCCCAATTTCTAATCAATTCACCTAAGTGGCACCCGAAAATACTTGGAAACAAGACTGTATGGAGTACTCGGAAGTTCCTTGAAATTTAACGTCTGGGAGTAGCCCCGGCAGTGGAGCAATCTTATCTCGATTGTCTACGCATCGGTATCGCGAAAAGTGGCGGAGAAGCACCGGGATCTCGAATGAACGGCCGGCCTTGTACTCGATGCGAGCAAAAATATCATCTCTGAAGAAATGAAAAGAATCGCTGAGTAGAGGCCGCTATGTTGGAGGATAAGAAGACCAGGATGTGTCGTTAGTCATGCTATGCATTGGTCGGAAAATCTCTTCCACAATGCTCGAGGGCAAACTCGAGGGTTTCAAGCACACCATCCCGCGACGAACAGAGACAGCCTCATGAATTATCCACATTCTTGTCCAGCATTTGAAAGAGAAAGGTTGAGGTAACTGTGATTGGTCTTTTTTCTCCAGCGGTGCTCGATGAAACGTGTCTTGCAGAGGATTAGAAGATGCAAGGTTTCGAACAGTTGTTACAGATCCCTCGTCAGTATCCCTTCCGGCGCCTATATGCATAAAAGCTTCCTGCGCAGCTTGGAAGAACAGTCAAAAGAGAGCTAACCGGTCACACTTCTCGATTATGTCCTCTGTATTGTTGCAATTTGCACCAATCTAAAGCGCTGGTGTTTGGCCTTGATCTTGGGCACACAGTGTCCTCAGAATATTATGCAGATTCTCAGACACTGATATCTCCGCGCCATGTAAGCATATCCTTCCAAAAGGCATTGAGTTACCCTGGATGTAAGAGAGAGCATTGAATTCCGGATGATCGTCTAGGCTTCCTCCCTTGAGCGGCATAATACTACATCTGTACGTGTATCAACTTTCTTATAGTTTTAAGATACTCTCTGTGATTTTCTTAACCCAAGTTTCCTGGACTAGGTGGCACATCGCCTTTCTCCCACACTACAGGTTTCTTGCCAAGATTGAATTCGATGGTACCACCCTCATGGAAAACGTCTTCATGGTTGAACCAGTTTCTATCCCACTGAATTCCGTTGATCTTCACGCCTTGCACATAGAAGTTGTCTTCGGCAAGCCCATTCGCCGTAATCCGCAATGTCTTATCTCTACCAATGGTCATGTTGATATCATTGAACCAAGGCGACCCAAGAAGGTACACTGGCTGCGTCACAATTGGGTAGAGGCCCAGCATTTGCCAGATCAGCCAAGAATTCAAGGCCCCAGCATCTGAGTTACCAGGCATACCGTTCGTGGTGTTACGGAAGCTGAATAGTTAGTGAACGTGCGCTTTCTTGTAAGCAAAGGAAGGCTGAAAACATACTGCTGTTTGGCTTGTGAGCGTGATTGATTCACTGATTTCCACTGTTTGTTGAGATAATTATACAAGTAAGGCGTAGCAAAGTCTGGTTCATTTCTGAAAGTACCGATTAGCATTCATTTGAGTCGAAGCTTGTGGAAGCCTGAGAGATATCTTCTTACCCAATGTTCATGATAGTATTGATTCCTGCACCATTTGGTCCAAGGTCGGCTTGGCTAGTGTATGGGACAAAGATATAATCAAGGCGCTCCTCAAAGCTTTGAGGACCGCCCATCTTCTCTATCAGGGTTTTCATGTCATGAGGAATCGTGAAAGAGTATTCAAAAGGGGTGCCTTCGTAAGTGATGGACGACCATGAGCAAGCGCCGCATTTTGCTGGATTGTACTCAGTCTGGTTGAATGTGCCGTTTCGGTCCTTTGGAGTTAGAAAGCCAGTAAAGACTTTCGAAGTGTTCACGCTATGTGTACTAGGATCCCAGAGTAATTGCCACCCAGCCGATCGGTTCAAATATTTTGACATGTCGTCAGGTTTCTCGCCCTTCGCTACTTGGCTCAGTGCAAAGTCATTTAGCGAATACTCAACAGTTCGTGATATACTCCTGGGCATAGAAGAGCTGACATATCCGTATTGTAGCCAGTCTCCGCCTGCACCTCGCCCCTCTTTGTTACTGCCATTAGTGGGTATCTCGGCATTTTTCACCATAGCGGCATAGCCGTCTGTCCAATTAATCTTGCCACGGAGACCCTTCACATAAGCATCCGCGAGTACGTTGTCAGAGTTGCTGCCGCCTTGTACTAGACCATTGTCATTCCCCGAGCGCCCATCTGGCATGTAACCTTGATTTCTCCAGATATCGATGAGCGAGCGAATCTGGGATTCGTAGGCATCGGTCTGAATCAAATGGGAAAGGCTTATGGTATTACGGAAAGTATCCCCTGGTTGACGTGGTTAATAAGTAACAAGCAAAGTTGATGTAGTGAACTAACATAAGCAGTAGAAATCATCCCAGTATGGTTCTTCCGATTGCCAGAGGGGGTTTTCGCCGGTTCGATTAGAGGGAATGAGATGCATGAAGTAGAGCGATGAATATAGAAGCGTAAGGTGCTCTTGGTCGGTGCTGTTCCTCGTGTCTACCTGAATTGTGCTGAAGATTTCACGGTTCCATTCCTCGACTGCTGCATCAACTGTATCCTGTACATCCCAACTCTTAATCTCTTCATCTTTAAATCTACAAGCCTTTTCTTCTGAGATGAACGATATCCCAATTTTCGAACGAATTGTTGTCTGAGTTTCTTTCCATGTAAACACGGCTCCAACGCGTGAACCTTCGGGAGTAGTTATGTTTTCTGAGGCAAAAACCGGCCACGGGAGGGGCTCTGGGTTCATCGCATTGAACCCGGGGAACTGGTTACGGCCAGCGAATGTCTCTGCTTCATCGGGGGCTGTCTCGAACTCGCCACAGAAAAATACTGTATATGGCGCACCCTCGTTCCACCCTCCGGCGTAAGTTCCATAACCTTGATAGCTCTTGCGATCTTGGGAGATGTTGATCTTGCCTTGACGGAACGTCTGAGTGCAATAGCCTCCAGCAACATTTGGAAGATAATGTGATACATCGACAAGGATATGCTTCTTCTTGTCTTCTGGGAACTTGTAATGCAATGTTCCTGCGTGTCTTGTTGCGCTCAATTCAGTCGTGACACCATTTTCTAGGCTCGTCCGGAAATATCCGACGCTTGCATAGTCTTTTCCAACACGTTCCTGCCAGTAAGTGCGATTATCTAAGAGATTGACCGGTGCTTCGATGTTTGTGAGGGGCATTTGCGAGATGACGCCGTACTTTGAACATCCTCCCGTGCCAGACTCGTGCATCATCGAGAAGCCTGTGATCAGGCCATTTGGCGTATACCCACCTTGCAACGCCGCAATGCTCGTATTCTTGACGTAAGTATCCATCGTCAATTTGACCACACCATATGGCACTGCTGCTCCCACGAAAACGGCCCCACCGCCAAATGTGTAATTTGGTATTGGCCCTTCAGTACCCCAGAATGGATTCACATACCGTGAATAGTTGGATTGGCCAGCCACAAGGGGCGACCAAGCTAATAGCGCAATTGTTAGTTTCCGCATCATAACGTAGGCTGATGGTGAAGTTAGGAGAGAAGTTCCCCTCATCATGCTCGAGCGGTTTTATCCAAGGGTCGCGGTTAAAGATACCCTAGTCTATGCCATTTTCATACAGTATCTAACCAAGATTGAAAAAGAATCGGGGAACCTTACCACGAAAGGAAGTATGCGCGCTATTCCCCACACTACAGATCTTCCGCCACCAGCCGCGAAAAACATTCTACCATTAGAGTAGTTTTAAAGTAAGGATACCAATAGTCTATACTTAATCTCTACTCTAAGAATATAGTATAGTTCTGTTCTTGATTCTTAATGAAAGGAGTGTTAAAATAACTATACTTCTAATAGAGGCTACTTAACTTCTCTACTGTAAGGGGCTACGCCATGAATAAAGCACGTGATGATGCCACGTGCTTACCATAAGGACGTTTAGTCATTCGATGTCCTTCGTACGAAAGAACTAATGAAAGAGTATAAAGTAAGAGTTATCTTACGACAACTTTACTCTTCTAATCTTTCTTTTTCCATAGTATAGGTTAATATAAAATGCTTCGAAGGCCTCTTTTGTAATGGGCTGCGCCCGTGAGAGTGAAAGCACGTGATTGTATCACGTGCCTACGTTACACCGCCTAGTTAGAACCTTACTCGTACGAAGAACGTGGAGGCAGGGGCATAAAGAGAGAAGTATCGTATAATAACTTAACTCTCTTTATCTTTCTTCTTCTATACTATAGGCTAATTCAAACTCGTTCGAAGGCCTCTTCGCCTATAACATCTTTGCCTCTTAATATCTATGCGTAGTACTTTTCTAACAGAGTTTATATTAAGCTAACTATAGAGCCGATTCTGTATAAAATAGATTCTGTTACATAAGCAGCTCTTGTTCCGTTCTAAGACACTAGCATCTAGGAAAGATAGGATAATAACAAGCGGCGTGTTGCATGATGACCATTGTTATATGCCCTTGCCAAAGCTCGCTCATACTGCCCGTCCCTAGCACTAGACAGATCTGCACCAGCATCTACCAGAAACTGAATCATATCAATCCGACCGTACTCTGCGGCCCCTTCGAGTGCCGTTCTGCCGTCAACCTCGGCGGCAGTGGCGTTCACCTTAGCACCATTCTCCAGCAGAAGAAGTGCTATTCCCAGATAACCGCCCAAGGCTGCAAACTGAAGCGCTGTTGCGCCAAATTTCCTTGCCGGCAGTGCATTCACGTGCGCACCCTCAGTGATGAGAAGCTCGACGATGTTTTTACTCCCGTCCCGACAAGCAATCTGCAAGGCGGTATGTGGAAGCGTCTCGGTGATAGCATTTGGATCGGCTTTTTTCATCAACAGGAGTTGGACTGCTTCGAAATTCTTGCTTTCTGTTGCGCACTGGAGCGCTGTTCCAATGTGGTAGTCGCCACCGTGTTTTTGGCCGGCTGGTGCCACAGCGTTCGGATCGCTGCCATGGGCCAAGAGGAGTTGCAGAATTTCTGTGTTTCCCGATTTGGCCGCCAGTTGTGCTGGAGAATAATCTACCGCGGAAGTAAATGGCGGGTTGAGCTCGGCTCCAGCATCCAGTACCATTTGTACACTCCTCGCATCGCCTCTGTTTATTGCATCGTGAATCGCAGCCATGCCCCAAAAGATAAGAACATTGGGATTTGCGCGTGCCGTAAGAAGCATATTCAGAAGTGTATGGTTGATCCCGGCTTCATTCCTTCGCTGTAGCACTTTGTGGAGAGTCTCGCCGCCTAGAGTGGAATTCAAGTCTACCAAGTTGCTATCCAAGATCAGCTTGACTTTTGAGATGTTTCCTTGGTCTACGAATCTATGCAAAGCGAAATGCAGCGCATTAGACTTCTTGTCGACCCGCGGGGAGGTGCCAAGTTTGTCAATGAAGAGGCTCAGCAGATTGTCGTCATCCACGGCAGCTTCCAGAGCCTCTCGGTCATTGATCATAGCGCCGGATTTGATGAGAGAATTGACAAGCTTGAAATGCTTCTGGGAGGTAGCAGCCCAAAGTGCGGTATGATGATGCACCATGTTGCTCGTTCGCTCAGGATGGTTGACTTTTGCTCCATCACGACGAAGAATGTCGACCAGCATCCAATTTCGTTTCTTGACGGCCATGATAAGTGGAGTACAGTATTCAAGTGGAATACAAAATTCTTTCGCCTTTCCTAAGGATATTAGGATTCACAATTGTCAGTGGATATTGACTTAAGGCCCGTGCTTAATGCCCTAAGTATTGGGTCTTGGCACTGACTAGTCCTAACCAATATAAGGCGGCGAAAGAGGCCTGATTCGTGCCGAAATAGGCTTAGCGTTAGGGTTGCATACTGGATTTGGCGATTTTATCACCCCTAATTCGCGAAATCTGAGACCCCCGATTCGCACTATTTAGGCTTAGCGTTAGGGTTAACTTAACCCTAAGTGCACCTTAGTATAGGCCCTAGAGGGTGTTATAGCATATACGGTGACTAAGAAAGTCTTTTCTAGTCTCTCTAATAGTAGCGCGAAACTCGCAGCTTCGTATATATAGCTGTTTAGAGTAGTTGCTGTAGATAAGGTTAGGGCTAGGGTTAGGGCTTAACCCTAAGCTAACCCTAAGTTTAGGGTTACGTTATAGTAGCGTATAGGGTTACTACAAAAGTCGTTTCTTATCTCCTTAATAGCAGCTAGTATTGTGCAGCTACTATACATAGTCGCTGTAAGATTTAGATAGAAGTTTGACCCTAGTAATAGCGTTACTAGGAGAACTGGGGCAACGTCGGACTAGCTGTATCATGTAACGGGCTGAACGCCCTTTGGATAGCTCCTCGATGGAATCTCGGGCCAAGCTGCGCGCGCACCATCTGAACTACGTTCAGACCGAGCAGCGCTCAGATAGCACGCTCAGACAACGCGCTCAGACAACGCGCTTAGATACTCCAGCATAACCTTTCTCCGATAAGTAAATAAACACCACGTAAGCAGAGTAGATAGCTCCTTATTAAATATAACCTCTTATATA